ATCAGATTTATGATTTGCAAATATTTTCTCCTATTCAGTAAGTTGCCTTTTCATTTTGTTGATGATTTCCTTTTCTATGCAAAAGCTTTTCAGTCTTGGATGATCTTCGGAGAATGCAAATCTGATGTGTCATGCCCCCGCCAAGTCATCAATGCTTTCTTCTTGCTCCAGGACTAGATGCCAAACTGCTTAACCCAACCCTAAACACTGCAGGATCTAGCAGCTGCCTCGCTGCTCTCCCCTTTGCTTCCTCTTCTCCACCTCCACTCTCCAGCCAGGCGGACCTCATTTCAGTTCCTGACTTCTTTCCTTAAGGGCTCTTGCTCCACAGCTGCTACTCCTCTGTCTGGAAAGGTCTCTCCCAGAACCACCTACGTACTACCCCTTTGCCTCATCCTTCATTCTTCAACCTTCAGGCCATATGTCATCTTCTCAGGGAATCTTTGCTGCTGCCTCAGACCAGATCCTCTTGGTATATGCTCTCATACCACGTGTTTAATTTTTCATTGCTGCCCCCACACCTACCCCAGGAGAATGTAATTTCCAAGAGGGTAAGGACTTGACTTGGTCACTGCTCTTTACCCAGAGTTCAAACATATGCTGAATGAGTAAATCATACCACTCTTTGTTACCTTGCAAAGAGTTTGTTATTGGACTCATCACATCTGTCTCTCCCATTAGACGGTGAGCTCTCTAGGGTAGAAACCGTATCTGCTCTGCTCACCATTGTACCCCTGCATCTACACCATAGGAGGCCTTCCACAAATGTGTAGTGAATACATTTTATTATAACCATGTGAAAAATGCAGAGGAAAAATCACACCAAAAGGGCAAAAGTAACTGTGTTAGGATTGTGAAAATATGAATGATTTTTTCTCTCTACCAGAAAAATTATAATGGAAAAAAATGACAATATAAATAAGAATCCACAATTAAACAAAAAGAAATTGGCCCACGTATTGTACTTATTGAATAAACATAATAAAAAAGCTGAAACCAGAAATGATACCTATACTTACTCTACTCTAAGAGATCAAGTGTTTTGATTTTTTCCCCCCAGTATCTCCATATGGGTGCATCATTCTATAGCTATAATCATAGTTAAAACATTGTATTTTGTTTTTCCTGTTTCATGTTATGTCACACGTATTTTCCCAGGATGCTACATTGCCTGCATAATTATTTTTAGCAACTGCGTAGTGTTTAGTTGAATTAATGTATTTTGGGGGGGTATTTCTTTAAGATATATTTCTTGGAGTAGAATTCAAACTGTATGAGTATTCACATAGAGGTACAGATTTCTGATGTCACTGGCTCGAAGGTGGAAAAGAAACAGGCAGTGATGGATATGAATACAAATGTGGAATGAGTGCTTGAGGTGAAATTAAGTGAAGTAGGATGATTTTAAAAGAGAGTCAGTGTTACATTGAGACTTGAGAAAAAAAAATAAAGTTATGTTTATCAACTTCTGTTTATTAGGAGAGTTCCTGGGTCAGGTAGCTTGACTGTCCTCTGAAATGAGATGGATGTGTTGAGAAGTGGAGGGGGGCGGTGCTGAATGTTGGAGTCTAATAATTTGGGAGGATTGAAGAAAGTGGAGGTCATGTACAAATGTGGGACATTAATAAGTGAGCTGTTAATAAGTTGGAGGCAGCTAGTACTCTTTAGAAGTAAGTACTTGTGGTCTCTCAATCTGTTAGGGAAGGTGTGACAGCAAGAGCCAGGAGTTAAGACAGTATGAGACAGGGGTGACCAGATGTCAGAGAGGTGGCAATGGCAAAATGGGAGGCACCAATGCAAATTATCTATCTGGGCAGGACATGAGGATTGCTGCCTAATGCTTTTCAAAATGCAAGTCTGGGCAGGATGGCCTCTGGCTTCCTTCTGGATTATTTTATAAAATGGCAGTATCATAGCCCCAAGCAGGAGCCTGAGTTGCAACCGTCTCAGGTCATTGCCTTTAACCCCTAAATTGCCATTCTGCAGCTGTCTTGCTCACCACCTTCTTGGTAATACGAAGTCTCTAACACTGTGCTTCACAGAGGACCCTGGATAAAGGTCAACCGCAGAGTCATATGAAATTCTTTCCAAAACATCAGAACTTTCCAAGCTTGGAACCCAACAGCAAGCCTGACTTTTTCATCAGTGTTGTGCCCAACTGACCGTTCTATGAGATTTGTCATCATATTCTTCAAACTCTCCTTTCTGCTCTGTTTGCGTCAGTCCAGGGCTGTCTCCCTCTGGATAAAGCACCTCTCATTTCCAAACAGTTCTAGAGTCCTTTTGAAATAGAGCAAAAAGATCTATTTCAAAAAAACCCCACAACCAATGGTTTAATTAAGGACTGAGAGCAGCATTTGAAGGAGGACAAACAGGAAAGGGCAGGGGAGAAGGAAAGAGAAGTAATGATAGAATGTCAGTTCTGGTATTCTGAAGGTGTGGGGCAGACACGTTTGTGCTTCAGATGGCCCTTCCTGTCCACCTCAGAGTGTCCCTTACTACTGAGGATTAGCCATGTGCTCATTCATGGAGTTTTGTGTTTTTGTGTTTAAAGACTTCTATTATGTAAGACCATGATATTCAACAATGTCTTTTCTGCATATAAGCTTTTGTCTTTGACCACTGGAAGTGCAAGTAAGAACCCTATCTGTTATATTCACTGTTGAATCCTCATTGCCTACACAGGGCCTGGTACATGGACATTCTCAATAAACATTTAATCGATGAATGAGTGAATGAGTAATCAGAACTAGAATATTCTCGTTTCTCCATGTCATTAAAAGATCTATCATTCAATTGCATTATTAGGTCAGGTTTGCATAATGCCCAACCCAGGTTGTCCTCACCAACCTATTTTTAACTACTAGCAAAAACTTTTAGATTGTCGTCTTCTTTAAAAGAATACAGCTAAAATATATACACAGCAGTGAGAAGGAAATTCTGAGTAGAGCTAGGGTTTTTTTTCTAGACTTATAGTTTATGCAGCTTCTCCACTAGGTAAAGTTTAGCCCATCACGTGAGTTTGCACTTGATGTGAATGAATGTAAAGGGTGCATTGATATTTTTGTTTTATTTCAGCAAACTCCAGAAGACAAAGTGGGATATCAGATGGCTTCAAGGAGTGACTGGTGAATGGTTTGAAGAAATTCAAAGAAAAAAGTTTTGCAATGAAACAGATGTTAGCCAAATGTTAAAACAACCACTTACATCCAGGCTAAGGAAGGGGATGGCAGAAAATGGTGAGAAAAAGATTTAGATCTAATTTTTTGTTTTCTTATGGCATTGCAGATAATGGCTCAGTGGATCTCCAATTTAACCAATCCATGTTTAGGTCTATTTTTAAATCATAAGGTACAAATTTTTATAACATAACACACACTGAAAAGAGTAAACTGAAAATGTACTGTAATAATGTTTAGGGGGTATGTTTTTGGAATCAGGCAAGATAGCATGGTGATTAAGAAGGCAGACATCTATATCCCAAAAGGCCTGGATTCAAATCTCCACTGTCCTATCCGTGTGACTCTGTTCAAGGTATTTATTCTCTGTAAGCCTCAATTTTCTCATCTTTAAATGGAGATGCTAATGCTACCTCATAGGGTGGTGTGAGAATTAAATAGAACTGTATGTGTAAAGTACTGAGCTGGAACAGAGTAAGCACTTAAATAAGTGGGATGATGTTGCAGAGGAGGGGAGGTGCCACCCTTCTGGTACTTGGGAACTTAAACCCTATGAATTCAAATAAATGCCTTCTTTGGCCATTCAAACTGTGTGACTACCAGCATGTCACTTACATTCACCAATCACTTATTTTTTTAATCTGTAAATGAGGATAATCAAACCTGCTTTCACAGGACTATTATTCTGAGACTAACATAGTGCATTAGAAATTACAAAATACTAAAACAACATAAAGTATCTTTCTACTGATAATCACATTGACTGCTTTTGCTTATATATTACTAACATTAGTAACATCAAGAAATGTGTAACATTTCTAAACTTATATATTGACAATGCTTTGCAATTGCCAAAATAAACAAATTTATCTAAAAAGACTTACAGTTCAGATTTTTAGATGAACCCCATGTAAACCATGGTGCCTTTCCTCTTACCTTGAATTTTTCTAATATTTATAAATTCAGCATGTCCAAAAGTATTACACTATTATGGACTTTGTATATGTTGATATTGCCTTAAAATTTTTAATGCTCATATGTAAAACTATTTTCTATACATAATATTATACATATTTATTTTACATACATACACATAAAAGCCATATATATAGCAAATACGTATACACAGAGATAGATTTTTAATGGGAATAAGGAACAATGTAAGTGGCTTAATTTCCTCTCTTTACTTTCTTTGATATAAAAAGTTACGTAGTATCTATCACTAAGATTTTAAAGTACTAACATAAAAATTTCTGAAGAACAGGGTGGTGAAGAGCAACAGGAGACCTGAGTGAGGTCCCTGACACCTCTCCTTTGGTTCTGGATGTTCCTGGGAAGACATGTTGAGAAAGATTCATGCAGCCGGTGTGAGGGGAGGGACGTTCTGCAGAACTGAGGTCCACAGTGCGGATGGAAAGGCTCCCTACTCTTTGTGAGGATTTTCTCTGCTCAGCAGAACGGTCAGAGGCACAGAGCTTCCCTCATTCCTAGGTCTTCATGTGGCACTATCTCCTGCCTTTCTAGAATTCATAGAGTGAGGGGGAAGCAAGAGCGAGGCCTTAGTTCTCTGAGATACATTTACCTGGAAATAGTTTAATGATGCAATATTTTTACAATTTTCTTTTAGATCCTGTGGAATTACAAACATCAAGATCTAAAAATATACCTAATCAAAGAAACCCAACCTCCATTCCTTCCCGGCTGAGCTTCAAATCCTCATTAGCTTCCCTGTTCTCATTCAGAAAATCCAGAAAGGAGACTTTAAAGCTTCCATCGCCGGGACAGAAAGGGTGAGTTAAACTCAAATCTTGGGACAGCTCATTAGTTATCTGATCCCAGAGGCCGGTAGCCTGTTTTGTGTTCAGAATGTTGAATGTTTGTTCTTAGAATTTGAATTCAGATAGTAACAAAGGAAACAGGATTTAGCTCACATGGGGACAAAGTCCTTGTGGAACCGTGAAAACTTGGCTCTCTCGAAATCTAACTTCTAACCAACTGTGCAGATCCCAGGTGGTGCACTTGGTGAATGATGAGTTAAATGTTGGGAAATAATTATTGACAGTTTCCCCACTGCTCCAAGAGCCTGGTCTACGCCCTGGTCATGAAGATGTCTCTGAATCAAAACTACTTCTTCCTTGGTGGGTATGTGTGTCTGTGCTCACAAGGAGAGATGGGGTATAAAGACTAAATGAAAGTAAATGAGATGAGCAAAGAGAGTAGAGAAAAATCAAATTTTACAACAGAGGGAAAAAATATATTACTGTCACTAGAAGTATTGAGGGCAGCCGTTCTGAAGTGGTTGCCCAGAATTTAAACTTAAGGTGAAGGAGGCGAAGCTTTTGGAGCAGTGGAGACATAGCTCCTAGTGTAGAATTGTGTAAATCGATTCATCTTGACTCATTAGGTTGTAGGATTGTTTTGTGAAAAACAAGGAAGGCTTTGCTCACATGCGGTTGAGCTGACTGCTAAATACTTTTGGCCTGTCTTCCTGGTTGAAAAGCTTCCCACCCTCTTAAGGTGTTGGCTTGGCACGTGATGTGTTCAGTATCTGCCGTCAAACCATTTAAGAGTGCATTGCAGCGCTGAATAAAAGGTATTGGAGGTCACTCTTGCCGAAAAATAATAGGCAGCAAGCAGCTGGTGGGGCATGTAATGCGGCTCCCGGACTTAGCACAGAGCTCCCCTCTTGGGGACGGAAGGCTTTTTGCTTCCAGCTTTTGCCTGCGACTGCTTTTTTCTTTGATGAAATAATGAAGAGCTGAGCAAAATGTAGATTTATGTGACTGTCTCTACTGGAGTCACTTCCAAGCAAATACTCTTCAAATAGGTGAGTTGTTTTTCTTTGTAAAAATATTTGGAACACTGGGAATTCTCTCATTTGGGAATTTGAAATTGAGGAGTGTTTCCTTTATAGGAAATACTTCTTTTATGGAGATAAGAAATATCCCTAATGTGTGGTATAGCTGGGACTTGTGATGTAAATTGTGTTTTAGGTGATTTTCTTTAAGGCAGAGTTTTAGATAGCCGAATAAATAGTATACTAGGAAAAGTTGACAAACCTGTCACTCTATGGACAAGTTATTTCCAAGCTCATACTGCAAGTTACTGCGAAAGCGTATCAAAGAAGATAAATGAAGTATAATCTTCCTTCTGGGTATTACGTGTTTTAGTTATAAACCAAACTGAAAAACATGAAACTCCTGCAACATTCTGTTTAACAACCGTCCCTCTTTTACATATACCAAAATGACTTGTAGCTCTCTTTTAACCAGACAAACACAGCATGTAGACATGAAACAAATTTCATCATTTAAGTGTATGTGTGTGTATTTAGCAGTTTTTGGAATTTGTCATCTTTAAATATATTTTACTTTCAAAACATAAGTGGAAATAAATATTTATTAATTGTGCTGGTGCTGAATATAATGAAGGCACTGTTTTTTGCTCCTAAGAAGTTTCAGAAAAGAAAACATAAAAATATGTCCTTTTTATTATGAAATATAAGTGTGATCTAAATATTTGGATATAAATCCTGAATGTGTGTGTGTGTGTGTGTAGGGGGTGTTTTTAGGTAGTGTTGTACTATAGTAGAAATATAAATGGTGTGTCATACATTCCGAGGGGCTCTTTACTCTTAAGCGGAACCCAACTTTCTTTGGCAGTTCTGCTCTTTTGAAATAGAAAATCAACCTTTAAAATACAGCCTCTGATTCAAGAGCTCCTCCTCGCCTGCAAGTGCACTGGGAGGAACTGACAAAGGGCCTGGGGGAAGCACAGTCATCCTGTGTCAGGCAGCAGTCAGGTTTCTACTTGCTGAGGCCATCAAGGCCTGACTTTGTCACACTAGGCACTCACTCTGGAGAACAAGTCAGCAAAGCAGTTTAGAGTATGTTTCTCAAATCACAGAAAGAGAACCAACCTTTCTAAGCAAAAGGCAGCCGTCTGTTCAGCCCCAAAAGACATGAGTACCAGAGACATTTCTTTTCCTCTGTTAAGCTGTGGTTTAACTGAGAAATGACACTGGATAATGGGCAACTGTCCCAGAAGAAAATGGACTTCATCATTTCACCAGATATTCTTGCCAATATACCAGCCAATAAAAGTATGTGGCATATCAAAGCTTTGATCTCCTATTATCAGTGGATAAAAAGCCATGGGAATATAGTGACTTCATGAATTAATAAAAAGGCAAAACATTTACCATTTCTGCTTCAAATGTGACTAGCTTCTTCCCCAAATTGATGCACTTCTGAAATTATCCCATTATTATTTTAAACCTATTTGTAAATTATTAAAGTGTACCCTCTGGAATCCCGCCCCAACTCCAGGAAAAAAGAAAAATATTTTCTGTTCAAGTTTTAATTTATTTATTGCTAGTCAATAAATTCAAGAAAAGTGTACCTACATTGCATGTAGCTTTCCCTAACATTTTCCTGTAGGTCTTGTTATGGGGCATCTAGTGCCTATGATATATAATGCTCAGCTCCACCACAAAATTTCAGAAACTCTATTGCCTCACAAATTCCTTCCACATAGTTCAGCAAGCACCCGATAACATATGTCATGAGCTTGTAAGTGTGGTATTCCTGGCTGACAAATAGCCTCTACAGTTGTTTCTTTCTTATTCCAGACTCCAGGTTATTCCAAGATGCCCTCTCCACCATGAAGAGGTGATGTGCATGCCACTCTCTGTTTCATGTTCCAACATACTCCACAGTGAAGTCATCCCTTTAAGGAGACCCCTTACCCTCATGTTCACACACATTCTCAAATCTGTGCAGCCATGTGCCATGAGTTCGTTATGGCGATTTAGGGATGTAGAGTTTTCCCGTCTACTCTTTCCTTTACTGTAGTCCCAAGGACTAGGGAAAAGTGAGACTACAAGGGAACTAGCTCAGAAGGTTTGTGAGTAACATGGACAGTTAGATTTAAGATTGCCTCTTTTCGGGGCCGGGCCCCGTGGCCGAGTGGTTAAGTTCTCGCGCTCCGCTGCAGAGGCCCATGGTTTCGCTGGTTCGGATCCTGGGCGCGGACACGGCACCACTCGTCAGGCCACATTGAGGCGGTGTCCCACATGCCACAACTAGTAGGACCTGTAACTAAGATACGCAACTATGTACGGGGGGGATTTGGGGAGATAAAGCAGAAAAGGAAAAAAAAAAAGATTGGCAACAGTTGTTAGCTCAGGTGCCAATCTTTAAAAAAAAAAAGATTACCTCTTTACTTTGAGGACCATCACAGTGCTTAGCATACAGTAAATATTCACCACAGAGTTGTGATTAGAGAGTGACAGCTGCTATCCTAGAGTGAGCGAATGGATGCCCACTCCCCTGTTCCTTTAGGATGATTTTTTTCCCCTTGAGATGCAAAGAGCTCTGGTTGATCCACCTAGCTGCTCTTCAGACATGCCCAAATCTGCCTGATCCATCATAGGGTGTACACAGCTCAGGCAATCCAGCTGCAAGCTCAGTTTACGTAAGCAAAAAGTTCAAATACTATTTTGGACAATTAAAAAGGCAGATTGTATTTTTTTCCTGGATTCTGGTTATTCTCTCTCTCTCCCCACTCACCTTTCTCTACAAATGTCCTACTGTGCTCTCTTTCCTTCTCCTAGTTGAGTGCCTGGGCTTGAATCGGAAGACACAGGAATCTAAAAGACACCTAGACTGAAGGAGAAGTCAAAGTAAGCAAGACCCTTCTTTGGAAATGCTCCTTCAGTGATCCCAGGTGTGGTGTCCACAGATAGACAGTAGGGTTGTGCTGACAGGAGGGAGGAGAAAGACAGGGGAGTGGTTCCCAGTTGATCTGGTTGATCACTATTAGAATCTCATCAGCAATTTAAAAGTAATGACAGATAATCAGGTCCTAACCTTAAGGTTCTGATCCAGAAGGTGTGAAGTAGGGCACAGGAAACGTTATTTCTTTCTTTATTTTTAATTCTGCAGGATTTGGGGATGCTCGTTCAGCTTTGAGAACCACTGCAGCTTAGTCTGCTACACTTCCACTAGGGTAAGGGCTGTCAGAATTCCTGGCCTCGGTGCTGGTAGCCGAGGTGATAGCCTCCTTTTTGTTTATTTATCAAGCTTTTCTCAAAGTCCCACTTGGGATCAGGTACTGTGTTTAGTGCTGGAGATGAAATCATGAAAATAAAGCAAAATCACTGCTGGAGGACTTTAGAATCTAGTAGGGAACTTCAGATTTCTGCGTGTGGTTAGGCAGGAGGCGCACCATAGAACTCTAGGAAGTGCCAGTCATACCTTGATCATCATGGATCCCTATATGTATTATGGCAATTTTCCAGCAAATGACAGTAAGGATCTTGAGGAAGGACGCCTTTTGGAATTCACACAGGGATACCATCTCGCCTAGCTGCAACCTGGGTGACAGCTGAGTACACTGATGATTATGGTATAATATGGTGAGAGCTGTGGTGGATGCATGGTGTTCCTGCCCTGAGAACTTACAGGAGATGCACTTAACTCAGACTGGAGGATCCAGAAGGCTTCCCGGAAGAAGAGAGCCAAATTTTGAAGGATATATAGGACTGGGTTAAGCAATTAAGAGTGAGGAGCCTTCACCAAGCAGAAGGAATGACACAGCAAAAGTGCAGAGACTGGAGAAAGCAAGAACTTATCTACCTCACTGAGGTTTTGTGACCCAGTGTAAAGTGAGACTGATAAGAGATGGGGTGGGAGAGGTTGACAGAGGCCAGAACACAGAGACATTACACATGCAGTGCTAAGGAGCTTGGCTTTGATCCTGTAGACATGGGGGAGCCATTAATCACTTTTTTGAATAATATCATCCTTTTCCTTATTTTATATATATAAAACATATATTTCCTTATTATATTTATATGTAATATATATAACAAATGAAATCATCCGCAACCCACTGACCTGGACAAACACTAATATTTTGGTATATTTCATGTACGTGTGCATACGCATATATTTTTTCCATTGACAATGGGAAAACAGAGTAGTGACATAATCAGATTTTCATTTTAGAAAAATAACTTCAGCTCAGTGCTTCTCAATCAGTGGCAATTTTGCTTCCCAAAAGATATTTGGCAATGTCTGAAGATGTTCCTGGTTTTCACAACTGAAGGGGGCTGCTATTGGCATCTACTGGGTAGAGGCACTCAACAGGCCACCACACTAAAGAAATGCCAGTGGTGCCTAGGCATTTGAGAAACTGCTCTAGCTGTAGCACAAAGAACGGACCTGAGGGAGCAAAACTCGAGTCAGAGAGACCCGGTAAGAGACTGTGAGGATGGTGGTGGCCTAAACTGAAGTAGAGGCAATGAGGAGGGCAAAAGCAGACAGATTTGTGCACAGGTTAGAATGAAGAATCATGAGAACCTACTAATCGGATGTGGGGATGAGGAAGAAGGAGGAGTGGAGGTGACTGTCCACTCTGACTTAGAAAACGAGGTGGATGATGGTGAAGAATATGGGAGGAGGAGCAGATGTGATGAGGATAAAAACAAACACATTTATTCATTTACTCAACAAATACTCCTCAAGGAATGCCATGTGCAGCACCATGGAACGAAACACGCAGTGCTTGGCTTCACAGGTTTTAGTCTTGCGAGGACAACAAAAAGGAAACAGAGAAACCCAGAATAGTCCTAAAATGGGGAAGTTCCAAATGCTATGGGTGCATGGATGAGGGGTATGTTTCTTATAAGTCTAGAGTCCAGACAGTTTTTCTAGAGAAAATGACATTTCTCATGATTCTCCAAGGATGAGATAGTTATCCAGGCAAACACATATTAGAAAAATGTTTCAGGCAAAAGAACAATATGTACATAGGCTCCGAGGTGCGGCGAATTCCCCGTGGCAGAAGGGATACAGGAAAGTGAGAGATGAGGCTAGGAAGTGTGCAGATCACATTGGGCCTTGTGAATGCAGAGAAGAGTTTGAACTTTCACCTGAGAGCAAATGGGAATCATTAAAATGTTAAGCAGGGAAGTGGCGTGATTCAATTTATACTGCTCTCTTGCTAAAGTGTAGAGAATGGATTGGATTGGGACAAAACCTGGAGACAGAAGCACAGTAAAGGGACTATTGCACCAATGAAGGCAAGAGATGTTAAATGTCTTAACTATGGTAAAGGGAGGGAGATGTAGAGATATGGATGGTTTTGAGAGGGATTTCTGAGTTTGAATCAAAAAGATCTGTTGATTGATTGCATAGGAAGGAGTGGGCGTGGAAGGAGGACATGGAGGCCATGTTGGACATGGAGGGTCTGAAGTGCCTGTGGTCATTCAGGGGGAACTCATCAGTGGCCAGTGATTAGAGCATGCTCCACCAGAACTTGGGGGGAAATCATCTAGAGTTCTGGTTAGAAAAGAATATTTTTTGAAAAGAATATTCTTGAGCCACACTCTAATCTACTGAATGAGAATTTCTGAATGGCATCTGCAAAGGTGTGGAGATGAGAGAATATTTTATGGAAGTGGAGTAAACTTGTTGAGTCTAGACTACAGGTACCTGTGGAGGAGTGGAGTGTGGAGACATAAGGCTTAAAGGGTGATGGATTGTCTGGGGGGCTCACCAGGTAAAAGAAGAGCCTTGTGTCATGTTAAGATTTTGGATAATACCTTGTAAGATTTTAAACAGGGGATTGATAAGATCAAATCTGCATTTTAGACAGATGTCTCTATTGGTGGTATGAAGGATGAAGAGGAGTCCAGGAGAGAAACTGTGAAAGTTTAATATAAGGCAGAATGAGTGGAGTTGGAGAAGCAGAGATGTATGTGAGAGATCTTTAAGGAATGGCATCAATAGGACTTGTGAGGGAATTCAGAAGGTGAGGTAGCTTTGTATTCCTTGATATCCCCAAGTTGGGAGGACTTTTACCAGCATAGCTTTCATAATACCATTGTTGCTTTTATTCACTCTACAAGTGGAAGCTCTTCACATCAGAAACAGAAATTAACATTTAGGAGGACTGGGAGTGGGTGCAGAGGCTCTGGACCTCCAAGCCGCCTGAGTCCTCGACCTGCTACCTGATCCACAGTGGCGCACTCAGCCTTGCACAACCGCAGTGAGCGTGCATCCTTCCACTCACAGCACGCCCTCGGTGGCACTCTGTCCCAGTTGTGCTCCAGGCATCCTCTAAAGTCACATCTTCCACCCACCTGCTGCTCTCAGAAACTGATTCCTGCCCCTGCTGCCCTCACTCCAGATCAGACCGGAGCCCGGGGAGCCGGTGAGAGTGTAGAGCCACGTGGGTGACCGTGAGGGCTGCAGCCCCACAGGGCTCTGGAAGGAATCTTCACCATCTGGCATGTTCTCTTGGCTCCTGGCAAATTGAAGTACTCGCCAGTTCCCAACCTCCCTTGTCTTTCCTGCCTCCAGGCTTTGCTCATGCTGTTCTTTGCCTCTGGTACCAGTTCAAATGCCACCTTCTCCCTGTCACCTTCCCGGCTCCTCGCCAGGAAGTGTTCATTGGCTCCTCTGCATTTTCAGCGCATTTTACTCACATCTCTATTGTCTTTATCACATCTTGGCTTGTATTTTGGCTCCTGTATCTAATCTTCCCTAATGTAAAAAGCTCTTGGAGGACAGGGTCCCTATCTCAGTCATATTTGTTTCCTCCAAAGCACTCAAGATAGTGTCCAGCATGTAGAAGGCATACAGGCCCGATAAAGCTGTAGGGAAAGGAAGAAGAAAACTAAAAGCAGCATTTAACTTCTAGATATTATTGATATAAAGTTGGTGCTTCAGAGTAAGATGAAAAAAATCCATGATATTAATTTCTATTTCTGTTTAAAATTTGAGCTGAACTCTGAAATACATGTGAATATCTTTAAGACACAAAATTGTTTGGCCTCCCAGGTTTTATGCTCAACTTTCGTGAGCCATGAAGCGTCTAGGAGTTTGAATGAAGGAAAACTACATGTTGCCACTTTTGGCTGATCTGACCCAAAGTCCCAGTTCGGTTAATTCTTGATTCTCTTTGCTGTTCTTAGTGATTTCCTGCAGAGCAATGATTCATTACGGTCTATTAAATTTTGAGCTGTAATTCAGGTGAAGCACCCCTTGGCATAGGATTATAGATTCAAAAGATCAAAATCTATCTTAATCTATGTCTTGTAAATTTTTTGTGTTCTATTGGTTTGAGAGAAGCAATATAAATAGTAAAAGCATAATTGTTCACCAAAGTGGGTTCATAATAAGTAAGGCATGCTTACAAAAATAAACATCCAGAAGCCATGTTTACAGGGTTTGCTTTTTTAAAAATTCCCGTATGAATTGTTGAATGTGATCCTGACCTAATCTCTCTTTAAAATGAAAATGTGTGGAAACAGGTACTTTGTTTGCCATTTGCAAAAAGAATCTATGTGCCATACTGGTTAAGAAAGAGTGCTCTGGGGGGCTGGCCCTGTGACCAAGTGGTTAAGTTTGCCCACTCCACTTCGGCGGCCCAGGGTTTCGCCGGTTCGGATCCCGGGCTCAGACATGGCACCACTCATCAAGCCACACTGAGGCAGCATCCCACATGCCACAACTAGAAGGAGCCACAGCTAAAAATATACAACTATGTATTGGGGGCGCTTTAGGGAGAAAAAGGAAAAAAATGAAATCTTTAAAAGAAAAAGAAGGAATGCTCTGGATTCAGTGAGCCTGTGGCCTGCTCTGAGCTCAGCCACTGAATGTGTACCTTAGGCAGTGTCTTCTAACTGCTCTGGGCCTCCATCTCTTGGCCTGTAAAATGGGAATAGTCATAGAATCCACTTCACAAGAGTGACGTATTTAAATGAGGTAACATGTGCACAGAGCATGAGAACACTGCCTGACACATTGACACATAGTCGACACTCAACAAATGTCACTATTTTGTATTTGAACACTATTTGTGTTCAAATAGAAATCCACTATCATGTAATTTTTTCTCAGCTGCCTGAGTGACAAAGATGTAAACCATTGATCCTGAGTGATCAGGGGAAGAGGTTTCTGAGATTTTCTTCAACAAGACACCAACCAAGAAATGTCTTCCTACAGAACATTAGAAACATATCTTCTCAAGATATCAAGATATAAGGGCAAATGTGCTGTTGATTTTCCTCCTGGTGAAAGTTAGACACTTCTTCAAAGACGTTATTTCAAATTCTTTCCACAGATGTGACAGCCACGCAGGACCTCCTGTGTCTGTGAGGGGAACAGCTTTGGTAAGTAACCAGAGAAGTAAAGGTCATGCTAAGGAATTCGGAATTTATGTAATCCCTGGTTGGCCACCTATGTAAATGGGATTCTCCTTGGCTCTCTTTTAAATTTACTTTAGAAGTTTAGATTTCTCCTAGAGAGTTCAAAGTTCCCCAGTCATGGTTGGTTTCCAGTTGGCTCTGGTACTAAAATGCACAAATGGCAGGCTCTGCCAGGAAGGAGCAAGGCATCATGTGTCCACTCACCATCAGTGGCGTCTCTGATCTTTTACCACCTGTCACTCCTGTGCAGTCCTAAAGCACTGGCAGAGGAAGAGGCATCCATGGCCACTTTTGCAAACTAGCGAGGGTCTGGGCTGGACCTTTTCTAGGTAAGATCGTCATTTGTATTCAAAGAGGAAGCCACTGACAGGTGAGATGCATTTGGCTGGAACAAGTTCACAGGAGGGGACTAACTCAACATGACCCTCCACCAAGGGCTTAAATTTAAACTTCTCTCTGTGTTCACATGCTTACAAGATTGAGAAGTTGTAAGTTTTCTGTTTCTTACTTTTTTGTGGTCATAACTTTTGATCTACACGTGCCTAGGTCTTTCTGTGTAACTCGTGTAGCTTGGAGATGAAAGAAAGGGAGTTTGAGAAGGGGCCTCAGAGTGCAGGAGGAGGGGAGAGGCATTTTTCAATTTCTCGTGGCTCTAGTAGTCCCTTCCTTTCTCTCTCTTTTCTTTTATGAAAAACATCGGGTAGGATTCTGGTGAGGAGTGCATATAAACAGAGGTTCTTCACTTTAAAAATGAAAGTGAGCCCCCTTTCTTCTTCAGGGTAATGTTGCTTGTTTCTGGATAACACTGCACCCTATCTCTCTCCTTTATATGCTTGAGCCCCAACCATAACACCAACACCAACAACTGCTATATTCGAATGGAGAGCTTGTTATCATCTAGGCACTCGACAGAGACCATTGCATTTAATGCCCAGAGGAAACGATGAAGTAGGTACTATTGTTATCCCATTTTAAAGATGAAGAAACTGAGGTTTAGGGCCAGCCCCGTGGCCAAGTAGTTGAGTACATGCGCTCTGCTTCGCTGGCCCAGGGTTTTGCTAGTTCGGATCCTGGGCACGGACATGGCACCGCTCATCAAGCCATGTTGGGGCAGCATCCCACATACCACAACTAGACGGACCCACAACTAAAATATACAACTATGTACTGGGGGGACTTGGGGAGAAAAGGCAGGAAAAAAAAAAAAGAGAAACTGAGGTTTAGAAAATTTAAAGATCGTGCTCAAGGTCACTTTGGTAAATGGTAGAGTCAAGATTAGAACACCTGAGTGTCTGTGACTCCACAGCCAGAAGTCAGTCATGCCTCCAGCTCCGTCAGCCCCGAAGCCCTGTTTGTTTATGAGCCCAGTTGCTCGTTACCTACAGACTCTCCTTTAACTGAGCAGTGGACTGAAGCGGCGCGCATCCAGCTTTGCCCTCTGAGGACAGAGCCCTGCTCCCAGGTGCTTCTGTACCCTCGTTTTTCCTCAGAGAAGTGCTCAGAGTTAACCATCCTCTACCGTTGGAGAGCCATGGGGTCTGAAGCAGATGAAGAATATAAAAAGAAATGCAAATGCCTAAAAGCTGTAAAAGTAGAGCTAATTTGGAGTTCTTGGGATTTGAAAATCCAGTCTGAGGATGAAGAGAGATCTTTCTCTGACTCTCTTGATTTCTGCCTGCATGTAACCATTTCACTGCTCAGAGCGTGTCAATCTAAAAGGTAAGAGCTGAGAAAATAAATGAAAATCAAGCCAGTGATTGCTGATCCCAGTTCACAACCTTTATGAAAAGTAGGAGAGAGAAAATAATGAAACAACTGTCTAAAACAAAGTTTTGGTGTGACATGTAGGTTTCCGTGATTTAATCATGGAAGTCCTATCCGCTTAGCCTGAAGAGAGCTGGAAGTTGGCCTTTGATGCTGCAGGGATTCTTGCCAAGATTTTCATAAACTTCCCATCACTTGGTTGGCAACCTGGCGGGAAAGGAACAAAGGAGAGTCTGGCATTTTGTAGATTGAACTACATTATTAGATGACCTTCCACTCAAGAGAAAAGAAAGCTGCTATTTAAACATTTGCTTTGGCTTAAAAGAAGCAAAGGATTTCAGAAAACACAGAATTTTTACAGCTAGAGAGAGACTTAAGATGATGCAGCTCAGAGTTTCTCTCAACTTCAGCACTATTGCCATTTTGGGCTGAATATGGCTCTGTTGTGGGGGCTATTCTGTGTATTGTAGGATGTTTAACAGCATCCCCGGCTTCTACCTACTAGATGCCAGTAGTTACCCTCCACTCATTTGTGAGAATCAAAAATATCTCTAGAAATTGCCAAATGTTCCTTGAGGAGCAAATTGCCCCAGTTGAGAACCATCTCCTTACAGGTGAGGAATCCAAAGTCAAAGTAGTAACATCCTTGAGACAAAACATATGGCCTCAGCCACTTGATCACTCCTCATCTCTGAACAGATTCTGGCTGGGCCTACTGTTAGGTGACATGCCAGCTCTATATCCCTAGAAACACTCCTCAATGTACGTTCCACGCTGGGCCAGTGTGAGCTCCCTGAGGCTGGGACTGTGTCTGCTCACCTGTACCCCACTGCCTGGCACACCCTGAGCACCTGACAATTGAAAGAGTGGTTTTAAGCCACAGGGTACATGGGTGGATTTGCCTTTGGCAGGAAAGCACACAGATCAAATTCAGGAACACCTTGAAAAATGAATTTGTTGACTTTGCCAAGGCATTTGATAACATCAGTGAGCTTAGGCTTCAGCCCTGACAGCTGTTCTGCAGGTTTGGCTGCCCTGGGAAGTTCTCAGACATTCTCAGGTTACTCTGTGACAGAGGGTTGGTTTGTTGCAGACAGTATCAGTAGAGTGCATTGGGGTTGGGTAAAAGGCTGCATTTTGCTCAGCCTTTGTTCTGCACCTTGTTTGAGAATGTAACTGAGATCCCCAAAGCCAGCAATTTGAGACTCTGGCCTATAATCCTATAGGACGCTTTTCTAGCTCATTAGGCTGCAAGCACCAGCAGCAGTCCTCCGGGAAATCCTCTGTAACCACAGAAGAAATGTAATGGCTAACTGTGAGGACTTACTAAGTGCTAGGCACCACTCTCAAGTGTTTTACAACTATTAATTCATTTAATCCTCACAGCAACCCTATGAGGTAGGGGGTGGTGTTATTGCTGCTGCTGTTATTATCATTATTACATTCATTTTACCAAGAAAGAAACTAAGATACAGAGAGGTTAAGTAACTTGCCCAAAGTTATACAGCTATTGAGGAGCAGAACCAGGATTTGGACCTGTGCAGAACTCATGTGCTTAATCATTATCATTTCCTGCTTCAGACATGCTTTTCTGAGTCTTAATATTGTGAACATTTGGTGTCTCAATTTCTGTAATAATCTTTACTAGAAATCTTATATATTTTCTTCCTTGGTATATCATAGATCAATCCATAACTGTGTGTATGAAGGGCATGGAATGTTTAAAGCAAGGTTCTTGTCTTCAGAGAGTTAACCATCTAATTGAAGATATGCACATTAGTATATCAGTAATAAGCAACATAGTGGAAAGAACAGGGTTAGGGATCACATCATATGAGTATGAGTAGCCGATGCCACCATTTATTATTCATGTGACTTGAGTAAGGGACTGACCTGAGACTCAGTTTTTTTCATTTGCAAAATGAGAATGATAATTCCTACCTAATTCACAAATTTGTTCTGAGGATCAAATGAGAGAGGATATTTTAAAAGTATATTGAAAACTGAATAAATGAATTAATTTTGTTCAATAGAAGATAGTTGATACCAAATGAGTGTACTAAAATGTGTTAGAGAAGTTCAGAAGTGGAAAATATTGTTGTGGGAAGAGTAGTCTTGGAGTTCAATTCAGAAAATATTAGTCAATCTCTTGGTGCTGATTTCATGCAAAGGAGAATACTATCCTTTCTTAGTTATTTTAGAGGTTGATCTACTTCCAGGGTCCTAATTCACTTGTCTTTGAATCCCTGGTTTCCTAGATCAGAGTAGGGACTGAAATGTGTGGTAGGGAGGAAGGGATAAAGTAAAAGTGGAGAGAAGGCAAACAACTCTGATATGACATAATAGTTGCAATATTAGAGGTGCATAAAAATACCATGATGATTAATTCTTGGGAGAAATGGAGAAGAGCTCACAGAGATGGTGATATATGAACTGGACTCTGAAGGATGAGTTGCTATTTTCCAGAAGAAGAGAAGAAAGAGCAGAGATCAGGAGCAGAGACATGGAGGCCTAGGAAGAAGAGCAGGGCAGTTTAGAGAACTGTGTGTAGGGAACTCGGAGCACGGAGGGCGGAGAGCTGGGGAGGACATGCTTCAGTCAAAAGCTGGAAAGGGATTTTGACACGATTTTGCTGCGTGGAGGTGTTTGAACCTCATCCTTCAGGCCAAGAATGGGAAACAGGCTTCATCTTTTATGGCAACTTCATGTCACGGAACATTATATAGAGGGGGATTCTGAGTCCAAGACTGAGCCCTGACGGAGGATCCGTGTGTGCTCTGGGCCCCAGAGGGATTTACTTCTGCTCTAGGTAACAGGAAACTTCAGACGCTTAACGGCAGCTCTAAGACCTGTGCTTGGCCTCAGAAGATGCCCCCAGCTAGCATGTAGTGCACTCATAAGTCAATAGAAAAAGGAGAGCAAGTGATTCCGCGTGGGCTGTGGAATCCTACAGACTGGAAATGACCCTTCCCTCCACCAGTGTGGCCTGAAGCACATGACCTGACCTCTTGAAAATGCAGTCTTTGCCAAGTGGGAATAAATAATAGTACCAACCTCATAGGGTTGTTAAAACGAAAAAAAGAACACCTATAAAGCCCTCGGCTCATTGCCTACAAAAATCAGTTTGTAGTTGCTGCTAATAATAATAATAATATCTCACATACAGCTTAAATGAAAGTTAAGGATCTATAGAGCAGTAGCAGTGTTCAGTCTTCTCTGTGTTGAATATCTACCACTGACTAGCACTTCCCTTTTTTTAATAGTTTTATCATAGGAAAAAAATCCTTGCTGAGTTCAAGTTGATTGTAAATGAAGTCTCCATGTTATCTCTTAGCCATATAATTTACAATCTCTATGTGTTGGAAGCATCCTTAACACGTTGGGTGAGTAGGGTTGGTCTTGAAGCAGAGGATCTGGGAAGAAATAGAAGCAGGGGAAGTTATTTTCAGGGTCTCCAGGTGGTAGTAATCCTTCCCAGCCTGAAGAGGTTCATCTTCATCTGAGCCCTCAGTTCATGTACTTTTCATTTCACTATAGATTTTCATTATAAAGGGATGTGATCCGGGAAGCCAAAAGAAATGTACTCTGGTCTACATAAAGGAAATTTTAAGTTTGTTTGGGTGTTAAAATGGTTGAGAGGCAATGATGCTTGCTATTCTCTAAATCAGACGTAGCTACTCTGCACCCACTACCCAACCTGCAGATTTGGGAAGAATGGACTTATAAGATCCATCACTAATTGTTATTAGCACGGATAAAAACCAGAAGAGACAGTAGGTAGGGCACAAAAGAGAACACCCTGATGCACTTAAGAGAAAAAAATTTAGCTGTAACTGATCTGATTTCTCAAATGATTAGTTTCTGGTTTTATTACCTCCAACTGATATCTCACTGTAGTTACGTTTTGCTTCTAGTATTTGTTTACTTCTGAATTTTATGTTGGTGTGTTAAATTGTATCCAATGACCAATAAATTATCATTGGATTGTTTCTTTCTTATTAATAAGTCTCCTTTGTGTGTATTCAACTATGGCTTGCCCATAGAACTGAAAACCACAAGTCAGTGAAATTTGGGCAGGGCTTCTATAAGAAATAGCTGACCTAGATCTTGAGAAAGAAAACAGGCAGGAGTGAAAATACTAGCTTTTAAGGAATGTAGGGATTAAGAGAACCTGGGCTTTAGAATTGGAGAGACCTCTGATGGAGAAGTAAAAAAGTTGGAGCTTTGGAAAGATCAGACATTTAGTCTTAGGCATTCAAGGTAAGATGAAATGTAATGGTGGACATCCAGTGGGAAGGGAAAATTTGGGGAAGAGAGGGATTCAAGAGGCAAGGACTGGATGACAGAGTGAGCTGAGAATAAAAGAGACTGCAATGGGAAGTGTCTACTAGCCTTGTTCAGGCCTGGGTGCAGGATGAGTTAAAGTGGAGTCAGGAGTGACAGAGCCAGTTTGACAGAGGAAATGCAAATAGAGTTTTGACAAAAGAAAGTGAAGGTGTGGGAGTAGATAATTCTCCCAAGGTTGTCAAGACAAATTAAAACTTGAAAGTAGGGCAGTGATGGATCTGATGAAATCAAATCAAGATAAACATTTGCTAGTGAAGAAAGGAAAACAACTTTAGCTCTACATTATTCTCCTAAATCCTGTAAAACTAGCGATAGTTTAAATACATGTATATATTTATAAGGTCATACTTTTAGCACCTTTGTTTCAGAACTACTAATCTGCTCTTTATGTCTGTCTGGGAGGTTCTACCATTCTACATGAACTCTGTGGATAGAAATACTTTTTTTCCCTTAAATCCATCAAGTTCACAAATCTTAAGTTCTACTACAAGTTTCAGCTAACTGGCTCTTGATGGAATAGGTACAGTGTTAAGAAATCTAAAATTCTAGCCACCGGGGCCATAGAGACAACACTGCCAACTCAAGAAAGGTCGATTTCTTTCCTGTTTGCTAGGAACCTTCCTAAGATTTGTGTAGTGCTGTGTAAGTTTGTAGGAATCTTTGGCAGAGAAAGACTCAATATCTTGCCTGAAGGCTGATACTTAAAAGTATTAAAGTAGGTATGAAGAAGTTTGTGATCACTAGCAAATGGCAAAAACAACTAAACGTTATAAGTTGAGAAATAAATTTTTGGAAAATTGATTTGCAGTCCTTAGACTAGGACTTCTAAGCTTGGGGACATTTTTGTGGGAACATGTGAGTATTCTCGCTGGAGAAGTTCCAGAAATAATATTGCATTTTCTATTTTAAAATTAGCAGACAAAAATACACAATTCACCGTTGGAAAATCAACCAGTTGACAGTACATTTGTCCCCAAGCCAGCAGGCATGAGGGAGGGAAGTGGCATACCCCCGTGGGATGCTTCACTGCTGGAGAATGAGTTTTTCCAAGGTAAGTCTATGCATTAAATTGCCTTTGGAACCCCTGGTACTAAACCAAATAATAATTACAGTTTTTGTTAAAATGCTCAAAACATATCAAACCTTTTACTTTATTTTTGAAGTCCTCTCATTCCCCTTATCTGAAGATGATGTGTCATATGCTATTAACACAAATATTAAAGCATATTATATTTAGATATAATCTAAGCAAATATTCTCAGGCCAAAACTGAAAAATCTATGGAATGGTAGTAATGTTTAATATTTAACCTCAGGTAAAAAGGAAATACGTCCTTAGGAAATGTACCTCTGAAGTTTACTGTTCTTCAGAGACTTTTATTGTTCCCAGTTAGGACCTAAATGCACTGTGATGAAATCTACTTGTTGTCAAACAATTAACCTTGTACAATAGATAACAATAAAAACTGAAAGAGATTCCAAAAGTACTACATGCATGTAGAACTTATTATTACGTAAGCATAATTCACCTTTACATAAATTATTCTGTATCAAAATAAGCCTGGCCGTTTGAAAAGTGAGCTTGAAGTTATTCACTGGCTTCACCTTGAGGAACTAACTTCAGTTTGCAAAGGCAATGACATCACCTGGGCCCTATAGCTGGGACAGGTGGGGTGGTCAGTGCCATCCAGCTGGGCGGTTAGCCTAGGGGCTCCCTTCAGGAAGATGGTTCTTGGCAGAAAACTTGCTTCAGAGAAAAGAGACCCAGAGGAAATCTCTGTTCCAAAACAAAGGTTTTGCTAGTAGAGGAGAGCAAATAAAGAGGAGAAGCTGACCGGGAATTTTGTTTCCCTCAGGAGTAGTGAGTAAAACAGCATTGTTAATTTGAGATTCGAAGTGACTTCAAATAATTTAAAATCTCACTATGGGGATGTTAAGAGCGGTTACCTCTGGGAAGGATTCCAGGGGATTTTACTCCTTTTGTTATACTTTCCCGTATTTTCTGTTATAACCATATATTGTTTTTGTAGTCAGCAAAAGACTTTATTTAAGTGAATAAAAAGCTATGAACAGCTTGAAGAGGAGAATAGAAATCAAAGAGATTTTATTATAATTCGTTTTAAAGACAGATTTTTACCCATTACATAGATTTGCTTTCTTTTTGCCTCACCTGACAGTTTGGCATTGCTTGATTACTTTATTTGTGGATATATGGAATAAATTATTTCAGAGACTGGAGAAAAATAATTTGTTTTTCATTAAAACAGTGACAGTATGATTCCCTGAAGAATTCCTTAGTGTTACAGGTCCTTCATGCTCAAGATTAGTTCTTCTGCTGGCTATGCAAACTTAGGAGCACCAATTTACAGATAAAATAGAGTAGGAGAATCCAGAACAGATGTCAAAAACCCCTTCAGCACTTGCCCTAACATAACTGACACGTCACAAGTGCATCCCACGTACATCCACTCAGATACTGATATGCCTCACTTTCCTTGTCATTGAAGTTTTTAATGACAAATAATTTTAAATAACCAAGAAGAGTGCACCATTTTATGTAACTCAGAAGGAAATATTTCAGCAAGCCGAAAGCTTCTTCAGCAATTCAAATAATCCCATAACTTATTTCTCATGTCAGATTTGATTTTCATTAATGAACATCTCTTCAATATGTACATTATCCACTTGTATTTATTATAACATGAACATGGTAAAATATATCTACTACAAGGTGGGCCTCAGAGAATCTTAAAACTTTAAGAGATTATGGTTCTATTTAAATTCTAACCGGTTTTTATTGAGGAAAAGATGTCAAATACGATTAAATAAATATAATTTAAAGAAATACCAACCAACCAAAAATATCCTATGACTTGTCTGAGATCACAGAGACTATAGTCCTAGTAAGCATGAGCCCTGGGTCTTGGCTTGGCCTGGCTCCTGGTATTATGGGGAGGTCACTGGGCCCTGATTTGGACACCACTCTCTGACCTTGCTATTGAAGGAGAAGTAAATATTATTTGACAAGAGCAACTTCACATCCTTGTAACAGTATGAGCTCATAGTGAAATCGTCTTTATAGTTCATCAAAAGAGAAAATGAAAACTGGGGCCAGCCCCGTGGTTATGTCCACGCGCTCCGCCGCTGCAGCCCAGGGTTTCGCCGGTCCAGATCCTGGGCGCAGACATGGCACCGCTCATCAAGCCATGCTGAGGCGGCGTCCCACGTGCCACAACTGGAAGGACCCACAACTAAAAATATACAACTATGTACCGGGGGGTTTTGGGGAGAAAAAGGAAAAATAAAATCTTTTAAAAAAGAGAGAAAATGAAAAGTGAACTCTTATGGCACAGAGGTTGCATTGCACAGTGGTTGCACGTGTGGACTCCGGAGACAGACTGCGTAGATCCACTTATCAGCTGTGTGACCTTGGCAATTTACTTAATCTCTTCATGCCTCAGCTCCTCATTTATAAAATGAGAATAGTAATGGTAGCAATCTTATAAGATTATGTGAGGATTTAACGAGCTAATAAATTAAGTGCTGAGAACTGTGCCTGACACACAGAAGGTACTATACTATTGGAGTGCTAACAGGTCTTAATTTTTCCAGGAAAAACAATCTACTGTTAGCATATCATTTAACAATATTCTATAGAACCTTAAATTTTCTGTGTAGCTCAAATCCATCCAAATAAGAATGTTTATAAATTAGGTGCTAAACTTTTGGTGGTAATGCTATTTTTTTAATGGTACAACTGAGAAGTTATGCGTTATTTACAGACTCATTTCTATTACAATCCTCTGGAGTAAACATAGTTGGAAATATTTTAGCTACCTAGTGACACAAAAGATGCACTAAAAGAAACCATGATTAAAATTTGTTGTTGGAAAACAATGTAGCTTTATGTCCTTAGGGCCTTATGGAAGGTTACTATCTTAGAACCATAGTCAAAACTGTCATCACATTTATGACAAAATAATAAAAATAAAATTATAAATGATTATGTTTCTTGAAGAGGGGCCTCAACAACTCAAATTATTGTTAGACTGTAAAATATTATACAAAAAAAATGATTCCTCTTCTCCTTTCAGTTTTAGATGATTTGGATAGCAAACTGGCTCAGGAACAATTTCCAAGCTCAGTGAATACCAGAACATCTCTCAACTATGGATCAAGAACACAGTTCAGTCACTTTTACTCGAGTGGGAACAGACATGGTAATATGACCGGAAGGCACAACAATCACTATAAGGAAACTTCTAATATGTCTATCTATGACATCCTAAGACCAGGAACCCCTAGGGAAGGTTTTAAAACCTTTTCTCCGAGAACAAGGACAATTTATGATATGTATAGGTCAAGGGAAACGAGAGTTTTAAAGGAAGATTATATGGAAAAGAATACTTTTGGTAGTACTTCTCTGTGTTTTGACAGCAGGCAACGATCAGCCTCACCAGCTACGGGGTATTTCACAGCAAGAAGCTTATATTTTCCAGGCACAATTCAGAACAGGAGTGGGTTTATGCCACCAAGCCACCAGAAGAGCCCCAAGAGAACCCCTTTATCATCCATCATATGGAATAGTTCAGATTCTTCTAGAGATAGGCAGAATCAGGAGGAGTTCCTGAGGGCACCATCACCAATGGAAATTGACCCTGCTGACCAGTATATGTATCCCAGGTGTTTTCAGGAGAATAGGAGATATGAATTTTACCGTTCACAGAGTATTTACCAAAGTGTTGGTTTACATGCCCCCATGGATAATGCAATGGGTCCTGACCCATTGGAGAACTCAGAGAATATGCCATTCTACCATCAAGACAATCCATTTGCTAGGTCTTTCTTTAGCAATACCTTTGGACAAAGCAGGGAACAGAGATTTGGACAAAGTCCTTTTTGGGGGCAACAGGAAGAACATTCTTCCTGGTCTGAGTTTCATCAAAGCAGGAAACCATTCACTTCTTCTGACAGAGACTTTGAAATGACTTCCATTGAAGCAAATAGTGCATCAGCTGGTCATGGCCACAGTGTTCCTTCTCAACGCTGGAGATCATTTTCTCCCAGTTACAGAACAGATATTTCCAGAGAGCAAGAAGAGCCACATCCTTGGCAGTTTGATTCTCAAACATCCACACTGGAGAGCATGGAGGTGTCACAAGGTAATAGGAACCAGTCGACTCATTTTGGCACACCAAATGTTTGCTCCATGACTGGTTCAAGCAATCACATCAAACCTGGTGGGTTAGAATGTCAACAGGACACTTGTCCTATAGAAGTACATATAAACAAAGAACCTTACTCATTTGGAATTGCTCAGACTTCAGCATCCTCATTCAAAACTTCCTTCCCTCAGATTCCCGATGACAGAGGAAATCCTCAGAGCCCCAACTTTCAGAATTCCACAGTCACTTTGCAGAAAGTTAAGCCTGCCTCTCTTCCCATAAGAAGATATACAGAAGTCACTATGACCAACAGCAATTCAGTTGTTTCTCCACCTCTTACTGAAAGTCAACCCAATATCCTGGTCACAGAAGTGAATAATGAGAAAGACTTGAATGAATCTATTTTGGAAAAAGACACACAACTAAACAAGATGGACCAGACAAACGTGACTAGTGAAATACCTCAACCTGTTTCACAGACAGTAATTTCTAACCCTTTACCTGATTTTCAAAATCCCCTCTCCCAGGACTCAGCCAAGAGCAACAGACTTGTTTTTAATGCATCTACCCCAGTAAGTTCAAAAAGGTCACCTGGAGTCATTTCCAGGAAAGATACCTCCAAAATTCATATATCACACAGAGATAAAGCCAATGAACTAAAGAAAGATAAGAATTATACCAGGAACAGAAAACTTGGCTCAGCAATTTCCCTTCCTTTCATTCAGGAAAACAGAACAACATCATCTTTTCCCAGCCCAAATCAAGGTTGTCACGAGGAATTAACAGTAAGTAATGAAGATATTTCAAACGTTGTTAAATATAACCGCTGGAGCTCTGAACCTCCAGAAAACCCTGCTATTTTAGATATTAAGGAAGAACAACGTACCACAACTCATTCTACCAACTGTAGCAAGTTGGCTGCTGGCCACAACATTCCATGTGATTCTTTAGATTTGTCATCAAGTACACTACCAGATTCCTTATCATCGAATAATTCTTTCCCTGATGCTCTGTTGATTCCTTCTACTACACTGTTCTCCAGGAAAAGTCTTTCCAGCAAAGATCCATCTCTGGGAGAAAGAGAAGAAAAAGACAATGATAGCAAGAACCAAGATAATCAGTTCACCCTAAGCCCCTCAGAAAACCAAAAAAGTAATGATAATTGTGTGACTGTACATAATGAAGTGATTGATGTTGTCAAATGCCATTCACACCCTCCTTTCAAGGATGGAAAGGGAAAAGGAAAAATAAGGCAAAGCATGTCCTGTACTGAAAATGGAAAGTCAAGCAAAATGGAAAGTAGATCAACACCCACAAGTGATAGCCGTAGCCTCAGTGAGGTGAATCAAAGCAACTCCCAGGACCCTGAGCTTCACACAATTTATTGCACCTTACCCAGACAATCAGCCAGTTTTCTCATTGGTAACAGGAAGTCAGAAGGTAAGATAATGGCTTCTTCATTTAGGAATGAGCCACTTCCATTCCAAATCAAAAATAATGTGGAAGATCCAAGAGGGAAGTACACATCAAATGAATTCAGTCCCAGTCCTGAGTCAGAAAGCAAATGTTCCAAAGTAGTTTCAGACTCAGTCTCAGGAGCCCCTGAAGCCACCCAGAGGATGACAAAAATGAAAAACATTGGATCTGCTTCTGTTAGAAAAGGACCACTTCCGTTTCTCATCAAGAGGGCTGTGTCTTGTCCTTCAGGAGTACCATCTCCCTCAGTTGGAAGAGATGAAAGAGAAAAATGCTTGGTCTCAGACACAGATGCTTCTGCTATAACATTAAGGCCTTGGGAGAGAATCATTAACCCTCTGGAAAGTGACTCATCCATTAGGGATTGTTCTTTAACTAAAAGATGCCACCAAAAGGAATACTTTCAAGAATGCACTGAAAAGGATGGTAAAATTTCTGCCTCCAGGATGGGTGTATTTTCCCTTTCAAATGAAGACCCTTTACCTTTTTCTTCAGACATGTCAGGAAAAGAAAGCGGAAAAACATTGCATAAATTTAAGACTACGAGTATGTTTTCTGTTTCTGGTGATGAAGATAATGTAAAATGTCTTGAGGTGGTTTCAATATATTACACGCTACCAAGGAAACACAGCAAAAAATTCTGTAACCGCCTTCAAAAATATACACAAAATATTGATTCACTTACAGAATTAGCTAAAGCGGAGACTGAGACATTTCCTAATGCTTTAGAAAAAGACAAACTAAACTATTCTACACGAGAGCAGTCAGGAACACCTTCACCAGAAGATCTAAAGATGTTGGTCAACTCTGCTAAGGAGAACAGCTATTGTCCTTCTCATGCCACTGAAAAAAGGACTCTTTTACAGTTACCAAGTAGTGGGCCCTCAGAACCTACATTCCAGGAAATGGCTTCTGTTGAAGCAGATGTTTCTCTTCATAAAGGAGAATCTAAAACTAGAGAGATTTCCCAAGATCACTTAGCTAAAACACCATCTCTAAGCAATTCACAAAGCAGGAAAGTAAGGGGGCAAAAATTGCAAAGTGAAACCCTACCTACTTCATCAGTTCTTCAGGGAAAAAAAGTTGCAGAAAAGGAATCTGAAAATTGTCAGCAATCCATTAAATCAGGTAACAGTGGTCCTTTTAATCTTCCAGCCCATTCAGAAGAGAATGTTGAAAATTCCCAAACTGGGAGAAGTTCTGGGGAGGGTGCAGGTGGCGGTATAGCCATTACAGCTACTGGAAGTGGAAAGTGTCTTCAGAAAGGTATCAATGACAGTGCCAATGGATTGCAGCCTAGGGAAGTCAGGAGGGAAATTGGAACAGATTTCCAAAAAATGACTGATGAAGCACTTTCTGACTCAGAAAGCCAAGTCTGTGCTCTGACTCCAGCTTTGCATAAACTACAGCTTGATGAGGTGACTCATTCAGGTGAACCAGATTTAGAGAGTTTGCCGTCTGAACCCAGGAAACTACCTCAAAGAAGTCAGGAGGTAAATATGACAGAGAACCTGAAGGCTAAGGATGAAATGCAGAAGTTGGCATGGGATCAACCTTCACTTCCTGGAGGAAGTAGTAAATATAAAACCAGCTTGGATGACCTAGAAAAAGGGAAAAACAGATCTTCAGTTAAACACAGATTGGCAGCCGTGTCCAAAGCAGGCAGAAAATTTCCAGCTAAAGATTTAAGCTCCAGAAGACATGTAGCTACTATTTTCCCCCAAAGTGGCAACGGTTCTGGCTTTGGTGGTTTATCTCTTGGCACACCAAAGTGCCACCCACTGTCCACTGAGCCTTCTCCAAAGTCCACAGAATCCACAGATGAAAGCAGGTTTAGTAATGATGGGATGGATGTGCAGAAATCTGAGAACCCTCTCCAGGTTACTGTAATATCCAACAGAGAAGCTTCTGCACATTTAAACAATCAGAAGTCTAACAGCATTTCACAACCACATCAGATTGAGTCTGAAAATATCACTGAATCACCACCAAAGGATGAGGATTCTAAAGCTGTAACAGTAGCTCAGATTTTAGAAAGTGAGTCAGAAGTCTTGGCCCAACCTACAATCACCAGGCTCGGGGAAGCAGACTTCTCTGACCATCCTTTTCCATTAGAGCCGGCAGAGAAATCAATAAACAGTCCACTGGCCAGTTGTCAGCAACAACAAAGGAGTGCTTCATCTCTGGAGAGGGAACCTGAGCCTCCACACCACTATCGTTCAAAGAGTTTAAAAAACATCAATGTGCACGGCGATCTGCTACGCAAAAGTCATCCTCCGAAAGTCAGAGAGCGCCATTTTTCTGAAACCGCTTCTATTGACAATGCCCTGAGTGGACTGACCCTTGGGAATGAATTCTCTAATAACAGTGGGTACAGTCGAAGATTCAAATCTTTTTCTGAACTTCCGTCCTGTGATGAAAAGGAAAATTGGGCTTTGTATAACAGCAGGACAAGAATGGGTCGCAAGTCTGTAACATCTATATCCAGACCTATTGACTATGGAATTTTTGGGAAAGAACAACAGTTGGCTTTCTTGGAGAATGTAAAGAGGTCGCTGACAGAAGGAAGATTATGGAAACCGAGTTTTCTAAAGAACCCGGGCTTCCTGAAAGATGATGTAATTAACCCTTCTAACCCATTGAAGTCGTCAACCTCAAATTCTCCTAGCAATCAAATGCCAGAAGATGGCTTATCTCCAAGTACACCACTTAATATCTATGAAGAGGATCCAGTAGACTCAGACTGTGACACAGATACAACCACAGATGACGAATACTACCTGGATGAAAATGACAAAGAATCAGAACTGTGAGGCTTTTTCAATAAAATGCATAACCTTTTCACCAAAAGCTTGTAATGGAAATAAAGCATAAATGTGTATGTCCATGGGAAGGACAGATATAAAAAAGATCTAGTTGGGGCTGGCCCTGTGGCTGAGTGGTTAAGTTCACACGCTCTGCTTCAGCGGCCCTGGGTTTCACCAGTTCGGATCCTGGGTGCAGACCTAGCACCGCTCATCAAGCCATGCTGAGGTGGCATCCCATATACCAGAGCAAGAAGGACCTACAACTAGAATATACAACTATGTACTCGGGGGATTTGGGGAGAAGAAGAAGAAGAAGAAGAAGAAGAAGAAGAAGAAAAGATTGGCAACAGATGTTAGCTCAGGTGCCAATCTTTAAAAAAAAAAAAAAGGTCTAGTCTATGCAGTGCTGGCTCTGAAACAACCCAAATTCTCTCTTTTCTTTTTTTCCTGCACACCTTACATATACATTTCTGAATTCTAAAGCAATGAATTCTTGTGTTGAGGGATTCTATGCGGGTCTTCTCCCTCTATATTTATCCTTGGCCTTTCTCCCCACCCCTCAACTTAATCTCTAATTCACTGACCAATTTTGGCTTTCCGCTCTACTTTACCCCTAACTTTTTTACACCTTTCATTGTGATTTACAACCCTAATAGCCCATGCACATACAAAATTTATTAGTTACCCAGCACAACCGCAAAACTCTGTATTGCCTTTTCCGGTCCACATCCCATACTCATGAAATTAAATAAAATGTAGGGATGATGACAGTGGAGTAAATATTGTTATCCTGTTTGACTCATCGACATCTGGGAGGCTTATGGTTTGGGTTTTTTTTCTTTCAAACAAAGATGAGGGAATTTTCATAAGGACGTCCTGTTATATCCGTAGTGGAGCCGGGGAGGCACATGTTTGAACTCCTTGTTGAATTATAGATGAGGAGCTGAGTCCCTAAGCCAAAGAACATTAGTACTCCTAGGAATTCCCTTGCAATAGTTTGTAGGAATTGGCTCAATTGTTAAGAGCTGAATTTTAATCAAGTCAAGGACTCGGGCTAGGCAGCCTGGCAATACAGAAGGTAGTTTGGCCACAGAATTTCTGCTTAGGAAGAAAACATAACTGAGGGGTGGAGATAAGCAGACATCCTTATATGAGACCGACATCCTTTCTGCAGCTCTCTCAGCAACTGGTTTTTCCCATTGCTCCAGAACTATCCATTTTTCTATTTTCTTTATTTGCAGGATAGAACACTTTTTTCCATGTGAGACATTTTAGTCTCAAGTATCAATTGGTAGCCTTGGCCAAGTCAGATCTGACACCCAGGGATTCACAGGCTTTTTTGTAGAATCATTTACGAAAACCTTCGGAAATTCTAAGGCAGCGCTTCTAAGGGCTTGTCACTATGATTTTTTCAATAATTTATCTAGACTAAATAACTTGTCATACCTGCTGATAATTTGGCTTTCCTAACTCTCTCTGCCATGCAGAACTTCTGGGGATTTCACCCTCCTAATCAGGATAAAGACCAATAGATGGCGGTGAAGGTAATTTGCTAGAACTACAGAAAGCATGCCATCCTGGATCTTAGTGGATTTCATCTTGTTTGGTTTATATTTGCTCCCTGACCTAATTCATCCATATAAAATAAGGATAATGATAGGTGTTGGTGAAGTATATAGAGATCTGGAACTGATAAAAGTGCAAGAAAGAACTATGTTATTATGATCCTCCTAATCATTGCCTTGCCTAGAAGCAAAATGCCAGGGCTAGTTTACATCGTTCCCATGAAACTCAAAACTAATGAAGATATGGTAACTAACATGAAAGCTATTCCTCAAATCTGTAAATTGTTTTCAGCTCTAGGCTGTGACCAATCTTGAGTTCAAAGAGACTGATAATAGAATTTAAATCAACTTTGTAAACTTTTCTATTTAAATCTGTACGGTAAAGAATAAATTTTATTCTTTATTCTATGTATGTTTGTAAATTATACCTTTACCCTTTTTCTATTTATCTGATTATTCAAGTAAAATTTTCATAAACAATGACCTTTGTTTTCTATGTAATTTTAAGATATCCAAAGTTAATATTTTAATATTAAGATTCCTGATTTTTTTTAATAATGAGGTTGCAAGTTTCTATTTTGGTTAGTACTGTGAGTCTGCATGTATGCTACAAAAGGTGAAATAAAGGTAGCTTATTTTTCACTGAGTTTAGGCTATATCAACAGTTAGGTAAGCTAAGATGAGGATAAGTAACTACATTGGGGCCCCGATTCTCTGCATTAGAATCTGCTGTATGAATTCAAAGGTAGTTGATGGCCAGTGCTTGCTTGCACTATTTGTAATGTTTGCTTGTTGGTCTGACTCAAGAATCAAGAAAACAGAAAATTCATGAAAATAGCACCTTCAATAGTTTTATACTTTTATTAAACACTTCGTTAAAGAAGTATAGCAAATTCCTATGTATTTTAACATACAAACTGCTGCTTTTTAGTATTCATTTTTGGTGTAGCTATAGTAATTTATAATAGTCATTTTTATACTGATAACATGTTTTCTAAGAGATATAATCATTATTAAAATAAATATTCACACAAATGGAATAAATCATGAGGGACTCAATACTAGTAAGTACCTGGTGAATTGTTAACTTCTTTAGATAATGGACTTCTATAATCATAAATTTTACACTGTAAAGTCTATTTAAAATAGGGCATGATGAGATTATTTAAATTTTTAGAGACTTCCCTCTAAATAATTTACCCCCTTACATTATAAATACATTGATCTTAATAAAACTCCAACCGCCACTAACAAGGTTTTGGCTGATGATAAGCTAATGAAAGCTACTCTATATAGGAGGTAAGTCTGGGCCTGTACTAGAGGTGGTGAAACAAAGTGTACTTAGGTTGTGGCAAAGATGGAACCAAATTGGAAGATCCATATCTCCATAAAAGTAATATATTCCGTTGAATGCCAGAGGGTCAAAGAGGCCTTATTGCTAAGAGTTTATTGTTAATAGTAGTAATAATGCTTCAGAATAGCCCATTTAAATGTACAGTGTAAATATGTAAATATTTTACTTTCCAAGTAAGTTTGTGAATGTACTACCACTACCACGTATGGGCTCTTTGTGACTGACACTTCTTTGTTTCTGAAACAAATAAGTCTTAAGCCACTCTTGTTAAAATTTTGTCAAATAATCTTTTTATGTACTTGTTCTCAAACCTGTTCTCTAGATATGAAATGTGTTACAAGGTGCAAATTTAAAATAATGCCTGTGTTGAAATAAATGATTTAAATAGATGCACTGTTTGACTTGGTTTTTATTCCCATCCTCAAATGATTATTTTTAAATGTGACAGTTTCAAGAAAAACACAAAAAAGGAGAGGAGAGACAAAAGTATTCAAACAAATCTTTCTGGTGTCTTTTGAATGAGATCAGCCATACAAGTAGTTTTTAAAAAACAGTGACTTGCTTCTCTTTTTTTCTTTGTACCGAAAAGCAACCAGCCAACAAAAGGAGATCCATGTGCATGGTTGCACAATAGTGGAAGAACAAAGAATGTCTGGCATTTCTGTCTGAGGGTCCCCACATTTATAGAGGAAGAGGCAGCTATGTGGAGTTGGCTCATGCATTGCCCAGTAGCATTGATGAAAATAAGCAAGAATTTCCAGTTGAAACATAAGACATGCAATGTCAATTCCTGCTAACCAATTAATTAATAAATTTGTACTAATCTTTTATCTTTTCTAGAAGAGCAATCCAAAGCCATTTCTCTACCAAGGACAGGAGAATGTCATCATCTTGAATATGGACAGTATTTTATTAAAAATATTTTTAGTGTCCTGTATTAAAATTTAAAATACATTGGATCAGCTAGGATTTTTAATTTTGGTCAATATGCTCTATAGCTGGTTCAAATAGAAAAGGATTTATACTTTGCTCACAAACATATTGGTAGGGCTGAGAAAATAGATATTAAGCTGAAATTCCAGGACCAATTCCTAAAACCATGCCACAGAACTGGACTGCCGCAGGAGCTGCTGTCTCTTATGACTAGGAAGATACAGAATCAGGAAGTTGAGTGAGCCAATATACTGAATCACCATATTAATTTGCCCCAGAAATTACTCCAATAGAAATAAAAACACTAAGATGTACAGTCTTACACATAAGAGCTTTTATTGCTACAATGTTTGTAGTGGCAAGAAATGAAAACAAAGTGAACACCTAATAATAAATGACTGAATATATATGGAACATCCACATTGTAATATTATGAAACCATTAAAAAGAATAAAATAGACCTATATAAGTTGACTTAGAAGAATTTTCATGAGGTACTACTGAGCGAGAAAAGCAAAATCTTGTTTTTGTAAAGCACTCACCAAAAAACCTACATATGCATGTGTACACATGGAGGGATCCATACTAGGTTATTCATGTCAGCTGCTCTGTGGCTAGGTGGGGGTTGAGGGATATGTTCGAGAACAGCAGAGAAGAGAGAAGGTGTAGTGAAGACCGCCTCCAAAAAAGAAACTATAAACACACACACGTATATAAAAAAGTGTGTGTATAATTATGATTACATTTATGCATTTAGAATTATATGTCACTGGGTATACAGATAAGAAATTAAAAGATAGTTTTGTTTTAAGATTTACTATCCAGGAAAATATTTAGTAAATTATTTTCTTTAAAGAAATTAATATTTGTACTTGATTCTATGAAACATTGTTTTAATAAAATAAATTCCAGCACTAATTTTCCCTCCAAGCCCATACTTTGTTCCCCAACCATCCTTTCCAGATTGGAAATTATTATTATTATATTATAAATTATGATATAATATAATATTATTTATTAACACAATAATCAATATATTATTATAATAAAACTTATAATAATATTATAAATTAATATTATTATACTGGCTGTCATTCCAGTCTAGAGTAAACTAAGAAGAACTTCTAGAAACGTTTTGGAGGTATGTGGTGGACTGATATGATTGCCCAGTAGACACTTTTCTCTTTTCTCTGAGAACTCTGTTCTCTGCCACACACCACTGCCACCACCACGTGCTCACTGTGGAAGAATCAATGTTCTTACACGACCCCAGAGTCTGAGCACAGTTGATTGGTTCAGGGATGAGTGCGTGACTCAGGCTAGACCAAGGAGTAGTTGTGTTTTAGGAGGAAATACCTCTATATAATGAGGTTCTGAATACAACTTAATATTTAAACTAATTGTCTCACAATCTAAAATCCACCCTAGGAACTGTAATATATGGAAGGGCAGGCACTGAGGCACTGAGTTTTCATCCTCAGCACCTTGCAGAAGCATGACATAACATAGGTGCTGAATAAATATTATTGAACTAATTAAAATAAATTTTTATGGATTTAATGGAATCAAAGTTTATCTAATCCCATGCAAGGTTTTTATTAATTAGTGACATTGAAAATGAGACAATTCTCTAAAGACAAAAGAGGAATTTATTATAAGGATACAGGGTTATCCCAGAAACCAAGGGCAGAGATGCCCTTCATAAACTGGACCGAGCCTGTATAACTAAAAACGCAGTTTTCTACATTTCGCTTCCATTTTTAGTTTACAAGGCAAAAACTGGTGACGTTTGCATTACCTGTATTTAAGAGAACAGTCAGTTATAAACTGAAATCTCTTAACTCTGATTTTAAACTCTTAAGGAAAGGATTCTGATTGGTTCAGCAGGAGGTAGGTCCGGAACTATGGGCCAATCAACTGTGGCCATGGGTTAAGGTCACGTTTTACAAAACCTCATTGTTAACCATAGATTGTGGAATAAAAAAAGGGGAAGCTATTACTAGAAAAGCTATGAACCACATGGACAATCAATAGCTGTGAATTTTACAGAGCTTTAACGTGAAGATCCCAAGGGCCAGTGCAATTCATAAAATTATACTGAATGTCGACCTTCCAGAGTCACACAGAGTTTACAGTTCTATGTGTCTGAGATTGGAGCTCAGTATAGAAATGAATGTGAAAGGGGATAGAAATTTCTTGAAGTGTGTCATTTACTTCAAGTTTTGCGCATGACGTTTCTGCTGCCTAGAATGCCCTTCTCCCTTTTTCTGTGGCAGATTCCTATTTGACCTTCGTGATTCAGCATAGATGCCATCTGTTTGAGAAAGCCTTTCTTAATTCTCCCAAAAGTAGGTTAACTGGACCTCATATGGCAGTACTTATGTTAGGAGAGGAATCTGCCATGGACCCTGAGTCTCCCTGAACATTTTGCTGGGTATACCAAGAATGTAAGTCCTTGACCAATCTTCACCCATACCATTTCTCAGGGTTGTTTTTGCAGCAAGCAACCTTGAGGCGTAAGATAACATCTCCCCACCAACACAGAGTGGGCTTAATTTCCCTTACAGTAGACCCCCCTTATCTGCAGGGGATACATTCCAAGACCCCCAGTGGATGCCTGAAACCACAGATAGTACCAAACCCTATATATACACCATGTTTTTTCTATAAATACGTGCCTATAATAAAGTTTAATTTATAAATTAGACACTAAGAGATTAACAACAATAACTAATAATAAAATAGAATTATAACAATATATTGTAATAAAAGTTACCATAGATCCTAGCAACCTCACCATACAATTTTTTTTCTTTCCTTATTCAGTTGAGAACTTGCACCTTTTCACTTAAAGGAAGCACTTTACAGCTTCTCTTTGGCATATCCGAATTGCCAGCGTCACTACTCTAGTGTTCTAGGGCCATTATTACTTTATTTGGGGCCATTCAAATAAGGGTTACTTGAACACAAGCACTGAGATTTCGCCTCAGTCCATCTAACAACCGAGAGAACTACTAAGTGATCAATGGTTGGGTAGTGTGTACAGCGTGGACACGCTGGACAGAGGGATGATACACATCTCAGGCAGGATGGAGCTAGATGGTTCAAGATTTCATCTCTCTACTCAGAATGGTGCGCAATTTAAAACTTATGAATTGTTTATTTCTGGAATTTTCCATCTGATATTTTCAGACCAAGGTTGACTTCAGGTAACTGAAACCGAGGAAAGCAAATCCCCGGATAAGGGGAGACTACTGTACTCTAAAAGAGGTAATCCCTAAACTCTTGTGATGCAACTCACTTCAGGCGTCCGTGATAGACCTTTTACATTGCTCTCACTGGACCCGGGGGTGTGTGAGTTTGCTGGGCTGCCATAACAAAAGACCACAGACTAGGTGACCTAAAAAATAGAATTTATTTTCTCACAGTTCTGGAGGCTAGAAGTTCAAGATCAAGATGTGACAGGTTTGGTTTCTCCTGAGGCCTCTCTCCTTGGACTGCGGATGGCTGCCTTCTCACTGCATCCTCACATGGTCTTTCTTCTGTGCCCAAGCAGGCCTGGCATCTCTCTGTGGGCCCAAATCTCCTTTTTATAAGATTGGATTAGGGCCCACCCTAATGGCCTACTGTTTTTTTTTTCTTTCTGCTTTTTCTCCCCAAATCCCCCCAGTACATAGTTGTATATTCTAGTTGTGGGCCTTCTAGTTGTGGCACGTGGGACGCCGCCTCAGCATGGCCTGATGAGTGGTGCCATGTCCGTGCCCAGGATCCGAACCAGCGAAACCCTGAGCCGCTGTAGAGGAGCGCGCGAACTTAACCACTTGGCCACGGCGCGGCCCCCTAATGGCCTACTTTTAACTTAATCCTCTCTTTAAAGGCCCTATCTCCAAACACAGTCACACTCTGAGGTACTGGGGTTTGTGCTTCAACATATGAATTATGGAGGGACACAATTCAGCTCATAACAGGGGCCGTGGGGATCCTACACGAACCAACATGAATCTCTTGCTACTACTTTTGCAGTGAAGAATAAAGTTCTTTGTCTCTGACCCCGGAGTCCTTGACAGCATCCATGAAATAGTAACAGGCTAACTTGTTAGCTTGTAAATATGGCTAAATCCCAGACCCTGCACAGTTCCTGACACCCATATTCTAGTGTGACACCCATATTTTACCCTATCACACTATTTACATTGACTCTCTGTCCTTCTCCACTAAACCGCAGGAGTTGAAGTCAAAGTATAATGTCCAAAACACGGACATTAGATAAATGTTTGTTAAGTGAATGACATTTGATTTATGATAAAGAATCTGGTCAAGGCAGTGGTTTATCTGAAGGGATATGCTTTTTAAGATATGGATTAAGATGAGAAAGAAATCTGGTTGATACAGATTCGGCATTGCTAAACAAGTGTTCAGATACAATTATACGGCTTCCTTGATGTTTTCTTAAAAAACTGGGTGTTACTACAAGTGTCACATAATTTATTAGGCCATATTTTACTATCATCTATTATCAGCTAACCCTCAGATTATTTCTCTAGAAATTTTTTAAAGTTTGATTTTGGAAAAATGTGAACAAAATGTGTTCCACACAACTTTTTAAAGTGATAGCTAGAGAACAGCAAAGCTTTCAGTTTAGAGCGGCGCAGACACTCCCACAAAATAAAATTTCAGCAGTGAAAATAATACTAAATATCGCTACACTTTAGCTCTGCAATTTACCAGTGATATACCACCAGTTCCTGAATATCTTTCCAGAGTACAAAGAACACTGTGTACAATCTCTGCTAAGCATTAATAAATAGGTCAAGAGAACTCATGAAAATGTGAGAAAGATTTTGCCCTGGCAAAACTTGGTCAAAGCAAGAATGCCGACTAGCCCAGTTAAAGCCAGGAGATGAACAGAGCGCCCCCGGGTACCTGATTCTGGCATTTTTGGATTGAGAAAATGCCAAGAGGGTGTAGAAAACCTGGGCCAGTTCGGAGATGTGATCCCCACCCCCACTCAGCTTGATAAGAATCCTTATTTCCTTTGAATAGATTCAAACTGTTGACGCACATAATCAATAACCAATCTATAGATAAGAAAGAAGAGTGATTTTTATTGATACTTGGTGAGCCAATGCTGAGGTCTAGCCCAGAAGTGTTATCCTCCCCAGGGAAGAAAGCACTCGGGAGAAGGGTGGTTTACAGCATGGTTATATACCGTTTCAGAACAAAGAACATACGATGAGCGGGACAGGAATACAATTTTTTTTCCCCAAGCCACAAGGAGATGTTTTGCTGTAGTTCAGCATGTACACAGCAGGTCAATTTGAACTTGGATTTCTGGGAAGAAAAGCTTATCTTCAAAGAAATACTGGTACTGGCGTCCGAGAAAGGGAGACGATCATCCCCATCTTTAAAGAGTGCATTCTTTGCTTTGGGAAAATGTTTGAAGCAGAGGTACCAAGCATGTTTGGCGGGCCATAAATTAGGCTGCTCTGGGAAAAACAAGTTTTAGGTCAAATCAGATTTAAACTAGAATGGCTTCCCCATATACCCCAATATGTGAAAAATTATTATTATTCTTATTATTTTTATCAAAACCATAAGCAGATACAAGAAGGAAAAATAACAAGAGTGAATATAACGGTCAGAAAAGGGAGGCACACAGTGGCTTCCAGTTCTTAAGACGACTGTCTGTCTCTTCCCGGCAGATCCAACTTCCAACTTTTAAAGTGTGGCCAAGACCAACCATTCTTCATCAATTACAGGAGACAGGAGCTTCCTGACTTTGAGGTGAAGCTCACCCACCAGGCTCAAGGCCAGGCCTCGACCCTGACTTCTGCTACCCCAGTGCCCGCTCCTCGCTCCGCTCTTGGGGCTTGGCGCAAACTCAGCGGATGCTCAGTAAACACTTATCAAAAGAAGCGAAGTGAAGGGGGAAGGGGAATAGGGAGAATGGAGGAATCACCATCCAGTGAGAGAGCAGAAAAGAAACAACGGACTCATACACGCCACTGGTGTGAACAGAAGGCTGTGAGAGGTGGTGTCGGGAGCTGAGCAGGGCGTGACATTTGCTCTGCATCTTGCAAACCCAGTGAAATTCCATGTTTAAAGGCATTTCCCTGAACGCCATGGCTGTTCTTCGCTGCTGGGCCCATTCTCTCCTCCCATGGCAATCACCACTGTTTGCATCTTTTTAAAACGGTTTCCTTTAAACAGCTGACAAACTCAGGCAACCAGAGGGGGGGGCCTGGCGTGTCAAGGCCTTGGCGATCAAGGGCACAGACTCGCTCCCTTGGTCTGTGTGTCGGTCCCTGGATCCCCGTCTTAATGGGATCGGCGCGGCAGGGGAGTGGTGGGGATGTGTCTATCGCTGCGTGAGGCCGGCGACTATCCTGCGCCCCTGCGTTCCGGCTGGGAGAGAGCGGGGGCTGGGACAGCGGCGGCGGCGCGCGCGGGCCCGCCCCGGGGTGGGCGCAGCCCCGGCCGCGGCGCTCCTGGCCCCTCCCCGCCGCCGCCGAGCTGGACCGCAGCGGCCCGGCGACCATGCGCCGCCTCCCGCGGGCCCTGCTGCTGCCGCTGCCGCTCGCCCTGCTCGTGGCCGCGGGGGCCCCCGAGGCGCCGGTCAGCGCGCCAAGGAGCCTGGTGTGGGGGCCCGGGCTGCAGGCGGCCGTCGTTCTGCCCGTCCGCTATTTCTACCTGCAGGCCGTCACCTCGGAGGGCCAAAACCTCACCCGCTCGCCCCCAGGTAGCGTTCAGCCGCGGGCTCCCGCGCCCCGCTGCCCGCTTCCCTCCCGTCCCCGCCGCGCGTCCCCGCCGCTCCGCGCTTCTCGGGAATCCGCCCGCCGCCTGCGTGGCGCCTTTCCCCGCGGCGTGGCGCCCTCCCTCGGGTCTGGTCACCTCCTCTTCCTCTCCTCCTCCCTGGACACAAACGGCGAGGTTGTCTCAACAAAAGTCTGTTGAATGAATGAATGAATGAACTCCGAGGGCCCGTCCGGAATGGATGGCGCCCAGAGTGTTAATGAATGCAATGTGAGTTTCATGTTGGAGATGGTCTTTCCACCTCCGGCTTAGAAGTCTGAACTGTTATAGCAGGCCGGGAGTGACTTCACGTGTTGAGTCATCGAGCCCAAGAATCGCGTTACATTGTTTAGGCCTCATGGGTTTGAAACAGCTAACTCTTGCACAGAGGACGTGTCTGAGCAGTGGGCAGAAAGGAGGCAGTTTTGCATGCTAGATTTTTATTTTCTTATAGTTTTGAGTTCTTGAAAGCGGATTGCAGGAATTAGTGAAACTCAGTAGGATTCATTCGGTTTTCCCTCTACGAGGATGGATCTCGTCCTGAATGCTTTCTGGCCAGTCCTCCTCCCACGTTCTCCTTCGCATCTTGCCTTTACAACTTCTTAGAACTTGTCCTGCTGGTTTCAAGTTGTTGCCAGTCAGGATTTGCTAATTTGTGTCTAATTTATGTCCAGCCCACTGGCACCCTGTTTCATCAACAGAGACAATCAGAAGAAGCCAGTGCCTCTGTCGCTGCCAGTGGAAAACTATAACTAGTTTTTTAGTTTTGGAAAGATTTTCCATGTCCCTAAGGATCAGAAGAAAATATTCTCAAACCCAGATTTCAAGTCTTTCACTATGGGGTGTATTTTCTTCCTTATTATTTTCTTTCTTTTCTAAAATTAATTTTATAGTGTTATATTGAGGAGACTTTATAAAGAAAAGAAGGTGGAAAACTAAGAAAAAATTAATTTATTCGTGAAAAAGAAAATTACACGATCCAAAATGAAATACTGCTAATCTTACTATTAATGAAGGAACTGTGAATTCAGATAAAATTCCATTTTTTAATCTAAAAATATTAGCAAAGATTTTTTTTTAAGCGCTAACCCTCAAAGCTGTTAAGGCAGCGATGAGATCCTCTCAGTGACCTTCATGCTCTGCAGGTGGAAGCACAAATTGGTCAAATGTTTCTGGAAAGTAATTTTCCAAATGTATCAAGAATCTTAAGCTTTTACAAACCTAATGTACAAAAAATGAGTTTCGGGCTGCCAGGTGGCATAGTGGTTGAGTTCGCCAGCTCCGCTTTGAAGGTGCAGGGTTCACTGTTGGGATCGCCAGGGTAAACCTATGCACTGCTTATCAAGCCGTGCTGTAAAACACATGTGGCAGCACATAAAAAAAATAGAGGAAGATTGCTGCAGATGTTAGTTCACTGACAATCTTATTCCAGCAAAAGGAAAATTGGCTCAGGGCCAGTCTCCCCTCCCCCCCACACACGTACCAAAAAGTTTCAACAATTAGAAAATGTAATTTTTTTAAAATGTCATTTACAAAAAACGCCCATGCCCTTTAATCTGGTGATCTGATTTCCAGGTATCTGTCTTGAGAAAATGATCAGAATGTGGTCAAAGATTTTTATATGCAAGGATATTCTTGCAGTATTATAATTATTTATTACAGTAAGTTTAGATAGCCAGCTATAAAGTAATTACTAAAGTATGGTACGTGCACGTGATGGAATATTTGACAGTCATTAAAAGTAACATTTTAGATTCTGCTTATGTGACATATCTAAAGTAGTCAAATTCATAGAAACTGTTGTCAGGGGCTGAGAGGAAGAGGGAAATGGGAAGTTGTTGAATAGATATAGAGTTTCCGTTTTGCAAAATGAAAAAAGAAACAAGCTTAGAGATTGGCTGCACAAAAATGTGAATATACGTAACACCAGTGAACTATAAACTTAAAGTGGTTAAGATGGTCAATTTTATGTTATGTGTTTTTTACTGCAATTAAATATTTTTTTAAAGTAACGTTTTAAAAGATTATTTAGTAATGCTTATCCTAGGTTAAGGATGGAATAAACAGGAAAGAAATTATATAGTTTCATTCTAATTTTGTGATAAATAAACGAACCTGTACCTCGCTCATCAGTGTTAGCTGTGGTTATAGCAAGAAAGTAAGGAATTTTTATCATTCTTCTTTTTCCCAAGAAAATATTACCCCAAAATGATCATAATGCTTTTATAATCACACACACACAAAAAAAGTCATGAAAAAAAAAAAGCGAAAAACCAAAGACTTTCACCAAGTCTTTTCAGACAACCTCACTTTCATTCCCTTAGATTCTACTTGTTTTCTTTTAGGCCACTTGATTTCTATCTTCCATTTAAAAGGCTGTCCTATATTTCTGAAAAGCTTGTCCAACCAGTTCCCTACATCTTTTGCCATCATCATTCACCTGTAAGTCTTGAAATTTTTCCTTCTCCAAGAACTAATTGAAAAAAGGCAAATTTTCCTCAACCTATAGACTGTCTTACATGACTTACCAAGACTCCCTTATTAATTGTCACTCCCATTTAACAGTGTGGCATTTATCTGAATACCATTATTATGCTGCATATCTCCAGATACCTGGATAGCAAACATGTTGTGAACTTGAATAGTCTAAAGCAGGGGATCTCAAACTGGAGTCCACAGACAGAAATTAGGGGGTCCATGACCTTGGATGGGGAAAAATCCTACCTAATAGCTTTATTTTCACTACCATCTGACTTAAATTGAGTGTTTCCTTCTATTATGAATGTAGTCAGAACATGTTGATACTGTTATATTGCTGGCATCCAGCACAATGTCTGGCAGAGATGCTCACTAAGTATTGTAGAAGAAAAGAAAGAAGGGGTGGAGGGAGGGTGGTTGGCATATGTCAAGACAGTAGGATAGGAATACTCGTTTTCTATTCAGTTTTCCTGTACCTTCATCAGTAATGATATCTTCATAAAATAATCTTATGTCCTAGTTGTGTAGCACTTTAGTGTTTTAAACTGTGCCCTATTTAATTTGTTCTCCTTAATCGTTTTGTGAAGTAGGAAGGATAGATACTATTTTCTTCACTTTACAGATAAGAAAATGAGACTCAATGAAGCTAAAATGTCTTGCCCATGGCCCCACAGCTAACAAGTGTTGAAACCAAGACCAGACATCCAACCCTTTGAATACCTAGTTGAATGCTCTTTCTCTTTAATCGAATCACCCATAATACGGTTGTCGTGCATCAGTTTTCAGTAAACTCCTGGAGAGTGTCCATCGTTAGCAGGCAACCGGACATTTTTGGAGGATTTCCATTTAGCCTCAAGGCATAACAACTTGACCTTGTTGGACTCTGCTCCCTTGGCCATGTGATGGGGTTAACAATTTTGTTGCAACTACAGAGCCTTAATAAACTTCCCAAACAACAGGGGAGGGGAATGACTTCATTGTACCAGGAGTGGCTGAGATTATTCCTCCAATTTTGAATTCTGTGAATTTATACGTCAACATTACACAAAATGAGGATGTTAGTTCAGAATGGGCTTTGAAAGAAGAAAGATTCAAGCTGTGTTCAAATAGTGGCTCTGCTAATCGTTGTATATGTGATGGTGGGCAAGTTACTTAACTTCTTGGAGCCTTGATTTCCCGATCTGTAAAGCGGGATAACAAATGCCTACCTCACAAGTTCTTGTAGGAAATAAATAAGACAAAAGGCATACAAAAGTCTCAAGCCGAGGGACTTGCGCGGAACAAGTGCTAAGTAAGTGAATTTTTAAAATTTTTGATTGTCTACATAGTCACTTCATTCTCATTTGATGAATTTTGAATTTGTGGAGTAGAAAAACAAGCTGAGCTTCAATTCTGTTCCATTATGTTGGCCCCGGGACAAACAAGAATTCACATTCCTTCCATCTGAAGCAATTTGAAATTGCACCATTCTCATTTTCTCTTTTATGAGGTTAGAATTGTTTATTTCTATTTCAGTCCTGATCATTATTATTTTGCATTGATTCTGATATTAATTTCATGCCAACAATAACACAGGCATGAAAGACTACTGTAAAAATAATCAAACTTTAAAATATGTATTTCCAATGGCTATATTCTATTTTTATACTTACATTTTGAAATATAACTTTTAAATGTTATTTCAGAGACAAAAATATGTTATAACTGAAAGAGACCATAGAGATCTAGTACAATACTTTCAATTTAAAAATAATGAAGTGTTTTGGAGCTAGTTTTCATCAATAAATCGTGCTCTACCCAAAAAATCACACAATCATTAATATGCTTGTCTTATATCTGTTCTGTTTATTTAAAATCATAAACTTATGGAGAACAGGACTATTTGATCAGGACACAAGAAAACTTTTCTTTACAGTTTCCAGTCTGGGGAGGGTATCATGGAAATGGCTTTCTAGTTCCCAGGCTCTGAATTCCTGATTTTCAGTCTACCATACCACGTTGCCTTTCTGAAACAAAGTGGGAAATAACACAGCAATAACTTATGTATTTCATTAAACATTTCAGGTAATTGGCCAACACTAAATAATTTCACATTAAATTATTACCTTATTTTTTAATACAACACCCCTGTTTATCTATTAGAGTTCATTTATTTTAGCAGACTTGTTTTCCACACTTGTTTCAAGGATCCTAAAATGTATGTGTTAGGTACTAAATTATTTAATAGCAAGATATCAGATACTACATTACTATTACCAAATTGAAGAGGCTGAGAAACATTTCTCCTGACGAACAAGAAAACAATAAAACCCTTGAAGATCCGAAGGAAGTGAAAACTTCACTCACTAGATTTAGAAACTAAGAATAGGAGAAACAAACTTTTTTTCAGTAATTTCAAAAAATATATATTAAATATGCTTACTTTCATCATATGATAGAAGTGAGATCACAGCATATTATTTGCTAGGGCTGTGGATTTCAGAGGATTCATCACTTTTTTTTAACATTTCCCTTTGATATGGTGATTAGCTGTGGTTAGGACGTTAACTAATCTTTATTCTTAAAGCTCCTAAGGATCAGATCTGCGCTGAGTGTAGGCATATATGCCCTGCACTCTGAAAAAAAGTATGCCAGTGTTTATTCCCGGACCACAGTAACAGTAATCACAACAGTGTTGTTTCAAAGGCTAAATAAGTCAGCTAATATACTGCAAAAAGAGAAGGGAAAGTTTGTTAAGTAGATATTATTTATCCTAGAACAGAAAACCCACAGAATTTTGGAGTTGAAAGGGATGCTAGATCATCTAGGATGACTGTTTCATTTCAGTTTGAGGAAACAAGCTTAGAGAAGTAAACTCTAGCAGTTACAAAGATGTGTGAATGTGTGCACGTGTAGATGCATTTGTGCACAGAATCTGGTAGCTAGGTGTAATCTCTCTCTACTTAAGGAAGTAGAAGTATAGCTTGAAATTTGGGTTAGCAAAAGGAAAATGTCTTAGAAATGAGGGTTATTAGATATTGAAATGGTTTACAAAGAAAGCGTGTGTATATTTTACAAGGAGAAAATGGGATTACCTTATTTCTCTGCCATTCTAAGAGTTCATGGATTTTTAACTACCTAGGCTTTAAAACTCAGCCAAAGTAGAAAAGATCAACTAGACAAAAAGTTAATCTCTTCCTTGCTTTTTTATGAATTGATTTTTTTCCTTCAATAAATCTTTACTGAATGACTAATGAATCAATGTTGAGTCAGGTCCTTGATTTGAAGACATAAACAGACATAGTTCCTGGCCTCAAGGATCTTCCAAACTAAAATGATTTTGTTTACCATTGATGCTAAAAAAAGTAACTTATGTGTAGAGACAGCTATCCAATAATTGTTAATACAAAATAACCATGAAGTAGTAGAGTTATTTATATATATATATATTTTTCTTTCAGGTCAAACACTATTCAAAGTAGTAATCAAATCTCTTTCACCTAAAGAGTTAGTCCGGATTCACATCCCTAAACCTTTGGACAGGAATGATGGAACATTTTTGATGCGATATAGGATGTATGAAACTGTCAATGAAGGGCTGAAGATAGAGGTCCTTTATGGTGATGAACATGTGGCTCAGTCTCCCTATATTTTGAAAGGTAAGTGATTATCACGTAATCCAGAGCCAGCCTTGTGTGTGTTTCACATGACTTCCAGAATGGGTTATGATGACCTTAAAGTCCTGCGCAACAGAGTAATCATGGCATACGTACCTCCTGAAGCTCAGTTTAATGTGAAATTTTAAGAGAAAGAAAAATAAATAATTTAAAGAGATTTAAATGATAAGAGAAAAAAATCTTGTGTATTTACCCAGCTAGTTACCATTTCCAATATTCTTCATTCTTTTGCATAAATACATATTTCCATCTAGTACCGTTTGCCTTCTGCCTTAACGATTACCATGAACATTTCTTTTAGTGTGAGAATACTGCTAATGAATTCTTCTAGCTTTTGAGTGTCTGAAAAAGTCTTTATTTTGCCTTTGTTTTTGAAAGACATTTTTGCTAGGTATATAATTGATCATTAATGTTTTCCTTTTACATTTTAGAGATGTTGCTCCACTATCTTGTTGCTTGCATCATCTCCAGCAATAAATCTGCCATCAACCATGTCTTTGTTCCTCTGTGCGCCTAAAGGTTTTCTCTTTCTCAGTTGTCTTGAGCAATTTGATTATGTGCTTTGATGTAGTTTTCTTCGTGTTTCTTGTACTTGTGGAGCTTCTTGGATCTCTGGATTTATAGTTTTCATTAAATCTAGAAAAATTTTGGCTATTTCTTCAAATATTTTTCTATTCTACCTCAGAATTCCTCCAAGAATTCTAATTACCTATATGTTAGACTTGAAATTATCCCACAGCTCACTGATGCTCTTTTCATTTTTTAACTTCTTTTTTTCCCCTCCATTTCATTTTGTATAGTTTCTATTACTATACTGTTAAGTTCACTAATCTTTTCTTCTGCAATGTCCAATTTGTCATTAATTCCATTCAGTGTATTTTTCATCTCTGGATGCTTTCTCATCTGTTTGAGCTTTTTTTCTGGGATGCAGTTAAATTACTTGGAAATAGTTTGAACCTTTCGAATTTTGCTTCTACAATTTATGAGGCAGGACCAGAGCCATGTTTAGTCTAGATCTAATTACTCCCCACTACTCAGACAATACCTCTCTGCATACTCTACCCAAGCTCCATGATTTTGGATGCTTTCCAGTCTGGCTGTTATAAATAGGCACTCTTCCCAGCCCTGTATGAACAATGGGTGCTGTTGCCTCTAATCCTGGAAGGTCCTTTCCCTGTTTTGGATAGTTTCCACACGTGTATACACTGATCAGTACCCTAAATACTTGAGAGGAACCTTGTGCAGATCTCTGGAGTTCTCTGTGCAGCTCTTTCCTTTCAGAGAGTCTCCCCTACAAATTCTAGCTGCGTTGATCTCCCTGGACTTTTAGCTCTGTTTCCTCAACTCAGTGAGACTTCTGAGCACTGCCTAGATTTCTCCTCCCTGTTCCACAACTTGGAAACTCTCTTAGGCAGTACACTTGAGGAGTTGTGGAGTTCACCTTACTTGTTTCCCATCTCTCAGACTCACTGTCCTTCACTGCCTGATGTCCAGTGTCTTAAAAACTGTTGTTTCATATATTTTGTCTGTTTTTTTTGGTAATTTTAGGTAGGAGGGTAAATTGGTCCATGTTGCTTGTCTTGGTTTGAAGTAGAAATCTTCAAGAAACTTAAATAATTTTTGAAGGTTTTTTTATATTAAAATAAATATGGATATATTTCAAAATAAGATAAAATTTACATATACTCTTTTTTAAATGAGTCTCCAGAGAAGTTTTATACTTGTGGCTGGGCACTTTAAAATTACACTGCCAGAGGCCCCTGAGGTACACATTTCCTCTTTGAGACGTGCTGATGAAGGTGATTTTAGGGACTTAGAGGAGTTCACCCCACCTTGTCTTAAAAAATCACCACCCCTACTATATAATAAAGCCTGAAAAGTAATACATTCTCTTTTTCCTTGTTAAGAGGTAAGTTGTTTTATGTTCATTATCCACATATACCTCACTGAAATGAATTTATCAGCTAATTGACCAAGAACAGGTTGTATTGGGAGAGAGCATACACTATAATAGGTTCTCTAGGGGGCTGTGAAAGGGGGACAGAAAGTGGAAGCAAAGGACTCTGACATAACTACTTTACCACTGATTTGTTTAAAGCAGATTATCCCTGTCTGGATAATCTTAGAATTCACCAAAAGTCGTCCTATGTTCACATCCGGTGCAGAAACAGCTCTCTGTGTTGTGGTGCTTGTTAATGGAGCGTGGCATGGTTCGTGCTTTGCCTTCCCTAGGACCCGTGTACCATGAATACTGTGAGTGTCCAGAAGAGGATCCTCAGGCCTGGCAGAAAACCCTGTCTTGTCCAACCAAGGAACCACAGATTGCAAAAGATTTTGCATCTTTTCCCAGCATCAATCTCCAGCAGATGCTAAATGAAGTTCCTAAAAGGTTTGGGGATGAGAGGGGCGCCATTGTTCATTACACGATTCTCAATAACCACATCTACCGGAGATCTTTAGGGAAGTACACAGACTTCAAAATGTTCTCTGATGAGATTTTGCTGTCACTGGCAAGAAAGGTATGAGAATGAATTAATCGATTCCAAAAATAATATAGTTTAATTATTGCATTATAACATTTAAATGCTTAAAATAATAATGGCAAAGGATGGAAATGGATTCTAGGCTTGGAAATGTGCATCTAAGATGTCTATCACCTGACTCTTTGTAGGTTCTCCACCTTTATGGATTTCTCTTTCCTTTAATATTTGAATGCAATAGCTTACTTACCCCCATCCCAGGTAAGCAGGTGAAACAAGGCACTCCCAAGGTGTCTATGAACTCCCAGATATTTATAGCCTCAAGGTCACTTATTGAAGTTCTTTGTTCCTGTTGAATACTCCTTCCATTCAGATGTCACTTTGTGCAGCTGTGTTGTTTTTGTCACCTCAAAATGACTTGAACTTAGAATACATTTTCCTTGTTTTACTCTAAGAGCCTCTAAAAGATAGTGTTGTTGATGGTTGGGGTAGCAGAGAGGTTATTTTGTACTGGTGCATAGTAAAAAACAGAACAAAACAAACAAAAACCCTAACATTTAAAAATAGACATCCCTATATTAATCAGACTCAGTCATCCTTGCCTCTGGGAATTTCTCACTGGCTGTCCTTGATCTTCATGTCTTAGCTTCTTACTAAATATGGCTTGGGCCCTGCATCTTTCAGAAGACTTCTCCACCCCCCAATAACTGCCCTCCATCCCTCTATTCAACCGCTCTTTCCACATTTGTGGAACTCTTAAGCAGAGCAATTCAAACTGCCTTTTGTTCTTCCTTCTTCTTGACCATGCAGAGTGAAGGGTGAGAACGGGCATTTTTTTTTTTTTTCACCTTGTTCGCCTAGAAAGACCATCAAGGTAGTTTTCTAAAACAAAAGCCAACTTTTTCCTGGGGAGAGTTATACAGTTTCCAAAATATGCTGAATATGTGGCTGCCATCAATTCTTATTTTAAATTTCAGCCGCCTCCCACTTCCCCATCAGCCCACAATAAGAGCATATGAGCGTATTATGGGCACCTGATCCTAAAGGTGGTGCTTTCTTCCTGAGCTGTCACCAGTCCACCTTGCCCTGTATTCCTGTATCTTGTACTCACGTGGTTTTAAACTAGGGATAGTTTTGCCACTCAGGGCACAGTTGACAATGTCTAGAGACATTTTTGCTTGTCACAACTGGGGGGTTGCTACCAGCCCTCATGGGTGGAGGCCAGGGATGCTGTTAAACATCCTGTAATGCACAGGACAGCCCCTCACAGCAAAGAATTACCCAGACCAAAATGTCAATAGTGCCAAGACTGAGAGACTCTGCTCAATGGTGATAGCTTCTGATGTGGAGTTTATTAATGAGATTATAAACGAGCAGGAAAGTAATAGGGTGAGTAGTCATATCCCTTGCCCTTCCCTTCTGTTCTGGGTTCTTTGCCTGGTGACTGGGAAGAAATCTAAGATAAATGAGACTCAACTCTGGTCTTTGAGCAGCTCACTCTAATGGGACTTGTTTTTGTTATGTGGAAGTAAGACCGGGATGTGAATACAAACAAGTAATTGTACCACTGCATGATAGGCATGTAAGAAAAGTAGGTACCCAGGGTTAAAATGCCTGAGGAGAGCAAGTCACAGAGGAGGTAACATTGGATCTGAGTTTGAAGGATGAGAAAGGAGACTGCTAAGTGAATAAGTAGAAGAACATTCCAAGTGAAGAGAATTACATATTAAAGTGGATGGCATTTTCAGAGAGTAGCCTAAGGTTTACTGGTATGTGGGCAGATGGAGGATGAGGCTCAAAACTAAGCTGGAGCAAGATAGTGGGGCCCTGAATTCCAGCCAGAGGGTTTAAACCTTGTCCTATAGGCTTAAGGTTCTGTTAAGCTTGGTAGTAACATTAACGTGGGTTTTAGAAATTCGGGCAGCAATGTGGAGAGCAGCTTAGAGTGGGGAGAGTCTAGAATCAGAACATCTTATAAGGAACAACTATGGCAACAATCTAGCAAGAGATGATAAAGGCTTAAACTAAGGCATTGACCTTGGGGATGGATATGGAGTGGCAGTTTCCAGAAGCAAAGTTAGATATTATAAAGCAGTTTGACAGTGAAGGAAAACAAGGGCTCGTGTCTCACTTTGTAGATTTGCACTTAGGCAGCTAGCAGAAAGGGTGCCTGAAGCCACTCATCCCTACTTTTCTACACAATTTTCACATCTGTAATACTAAAAACAGTTTTGAATGCCATCTCTGAATAGAGGTAGCTGACTCCTGGTCAGTGAATTTGCCATGTACCAGCCTCACCCTTGATTTTCTGATACTACTGTTGAGCAAGAGGCATTCTTCTTTCTTCTACTATTTTCAAATGTTCAGTTTTATTAGAAATAATTAAGAAGCCAAAGAACTGAAGCATTTAGTAACAAAGACTGAGACCTTCACAGCACTGATGTTTATTCTTTTGTTTATTTAGGTTCTTCTCCCAGATTTAGAATTTTATGTTAATCTTGGAGATTGGCCCTTGGAGCATCGAAAAGTCAATGAAACCCCTGGCCCTTTACCTATCATTTCATGGTGTGGCTCTCTGGATTCACGAGATGTTATCCTCCCAACATATGACATCACCCACTCCACACTTGAAGCAATGAGAGGTGTTACAAATGATCTCCTTTCTATTCAGGGAAATACAGGTGAATTAAAGTTAATTCTCTAAGAAAAAGTGTAGAGGTAAAAAGATAGAAGGAGGGGCAGCCCAGTGGCCAGGGTTCACAGGTTTGGATCCTGGGCGTGGATCTAGCACTGCTTGTCAGGCCACGCTGTGGTGGCATCCCACATAAAATAAAGGAGGATTGGCACAGATGTTAGCTCAGGGCCAATCTTCCTCACACACACAAAAAGGTGAAGGGAATGTTCAGTCAGAGGGAGTAAAGGTATACATTTAAATAACCATCGTTCTTCTTTTCTAACCAAGAAAAAAGAAAAGCAGCATGCTAAACTCTGAAGTGGTTTGTTTCAGATTCTTCTAACTCAAAAAATTAAAGATATGTGGGTTAGGCTGGTAATATCCAAACCTACCGTAACTGAGTCTGCTTTGAGTTGTCACTTATAAATACCATTTTAAAAAATATATTTTGTAAAATTGTCACTTAATTCTGACTTCAATGCCTTTATATTGCTGAATGAAGTCAGAGAGCATTTTGGCAAATATAAAATTATATGCAGATGTACAAGAATTGTGATAGCAGTATAATTTGGAATTACTACCTCTGACACTTTGTAAGGAATTCTCCCCTTTCCTCTTTCTGCCTCTCTTGATCCTTTAAAATCTGAATTCCTTACCTCCTCTTTGATGGCCTTAGAGTTATGGTACAACATACCTTTTTATTAAACTGAACTTCCTGAGTAGAAAAAGCCCTGTCTCCTCTTTCTAGCCTCTCTTTCTGTTTATTGTGGTTTGGTGGACTTATTTAGCAGCCGAGACCAGAGATTCTTTGTAAACTACCCAAAGATAATGTGAAGTGAAAACTCATCTACTTTTTATTTGATAACAGTGAATTCCTGAAAAGTGTGCTAAGATAGTAGAGATTGACCCCCTCCGATTTCTCTGTTTTATGATTTATCCTTTAGAACACTGACAGGTGTTAACTAATGATCTCTCTTTAGAATAATAGAAATAGATTTAAATTCATTCCTCTAAAATATTTCCCTTCCAGGAAATAGAGGATAAAAATATATATATGTGTGTGTGTATATTTTTATGTATATATATATAGTTGAGTTATACATATATATTTGCTTTTAACAGCATATTAGAAAAAATCTTTCTTGCATTCAAAAGTGATATGCTCACTTTTCTGAGCAAAATAAGGATTAAAGATGTGTGGGTGTACTTAGTTATATAGTTTTTTCTGGTCACCCTGTCTAAGAACAAAAGCCTAGCTCATTTTTTATTGTGAAGCGCAAAAGATGGAAGAAGCTAATGCCTTGGTGAGTGGGCCAATCATTGAATCTCCCTTTTTTTTTTTCCTCTTCTTCTTCTCCCCAAAGCCCCCCAGTACATAGTTGTGTATTCTAGTTGTGCATGCCTCTGGTTGTGCTTGAATCTCCTTTTGCTTTGAACTTGACTCAGCATTATTTTGCATATTTCCTAATACAACATAAACTCCAATATTTAAGGAACTTTCACAAGTACACAAATGGGACAAATTAGAGCATTCACCTCTATGATACAGCACAGAAGAGGACTGTTTCTAAAAGTCTAACCTCGAAAGTATCTCAGGCAAATTGAGACTTGATCTCATATTTTTTGGAAATAGCATCTACCTTAGAAGATGAGTTGTGATAAAAGAGCTTTAACATCTAAACTGACAATGGTAGATTAAAGATGATTATACTTACCATGAAAAAATTCAGATTCATAGTCATATTTTTTTTATGGTCTCAAACTTCTAGGGCCTTCCTGGATCAATAAAACAGAGAAAGCTTTCTTCAGAGGTCGAGACAGCCGAGAGGAGAGGCTCCAGTTGGTGCAGCTGGCCAAAGAAAATCCACAGCTACTAGATGCAGGAATTACAGGATATTTCTTTTTCCAAGAGAAAGAAAAGGAGCTTGGAAAAGCTAAATTGATAGGTTTCTTTGATTTCTTTAAGGTCTGCACTTATGTCTTCCTGTCTGGATATGAAGTGATAAACTTGTGTTAAAAATGTACTAAATGGTTGAGCTTGGGCATATTTCTCCTTTCTTGTGAACTGACACATACTTTAATATCAGGCATAGGGAGTTACAAAACTCATTGTGGTTTCCTTTTTGTTTTTTTGTTGTTATTGTTGTTGCTAACTTTGTATACCAAATAGCTCAGAACTATATTTAATACCCAAAATATAGTACAAGGATTAAGCTGGAGTTTTGGTGGATTTATTTCTCTGTTTTTCTATTTTTGGATTTGTTTTAATAAACTGGGAATATAAATGTCTTTTACATAAAGTGATCTCAAATGCCTTTTGTAAATAGAAAGAGTATAAATTCACTTAAGTAAAATAGGAGCTGGAATTGGGGTTTGAGTCCTCCCTCCAGTCCTGCCTCTCATCTTGCCTCTGCCACTAACTGTGGGACCTTCATCTCTTAGAGCCTCTGGCCTCTAAACATGCCTGATGCCTGCCTAGCTCCTTCAGAGCATTGTCATGAGGCTCAAAGGAGATAGAGATGTGAACAATGTGACAAAATCTGACTGCCTAGAAAAATCCTTGGTATCAATTATTTATGAAAAAATTAATTATTAAACCTCTGAGTATAGCCTGTTCATCTCAGTGTAATATAATGAAAAGAACATGGGATTGGGACTTAGAGACTAGAGGTTTACAAATTTTTCTGAACACTAGTTTTCTCATTTGTAAAAAAAAAGAAGGGGGATGCTAATACCTAATAATAATTGAGTGAAATTTAATGCCTGTGAAAAGTGATTTTGAAATGTAAATTGAAGTTTATTAATCTAACATATATGCACTGTGTCACCAGCCTCACACTTGTCCTTAAACTTCTCCAGGTTTCTGTCTCCTCAACTCTAAAACTGAGCAATAGAGATAATGCCTTCCTTTTTCATAGGTTGGGTATAAGGAACAAATGAAATAATGTATAAATGAAAGTGTGAATTGTTGTCAATATTCAGATTTAATAAATGTAGAACTTTTGAAAATAATTTTCCAACCTGGTTGCAGAAACCTGAATTCCCCATTACTTAGACATATTTAAAATAGATATCCCTATTTCCTAAAAGCATTTATCATCTTATTTTTAAATGCATTGTATTTCTTAATATTGACCTGCTAAAGCCTGCTTACAATTTTAATACAAAGAGAAAATGTTACAAAATAAAATATACAACTTCTAAACACCAAATTTGCAAAATGAGAAATAATTCCTTTAAATTTAGTATTAACAGTGTTGGTGAGAAGCAGAAGTGAAGTAAATGACTGTTAAAATTTTTGTTTGTTTATGTTTGTTTCAATCTTTTAGTACAAGTATCAAGTGAACGTGGATGGGACCGTGGCTGCTTATAGATATCCATATCTCATGCTGGGCGACAGTCTCGTTCTGAAACAGGACTCACCGTATTATGAACATTTCTATTTGGCACTAAAGCCTTGGAAACATTATGTTCCAATTAAAAGAAATCTCAGTGATTTACTAGAGAAAGTTAAATGGGCCAAGGTACGCTTTTTGCAATTTTAGTTTGTTTAGGCAATAACAAATTTATCAGTATTAGTTACATGAGTTCCATCAGAACACAATTTAATTTGACTTAATTTAGTCAAAAGAATTATTATCTAAAATTTGTGTTCCTTTCTATCAAAAGAATTAATATCAGGATCATTGTGTATAATTTCTATCAACATTTTTGAGGATTTTTAGATTTGAAGTCCAGTATTATATAAAATATAGATTTTTCTAAAGGAATTATTATTCATGCATACACACACAAGCAAGAACACACCAAATGTAAAATACAGATTGAAAAGGCTAGGGTTAAAGTGCTTTATGCACAAGGAAATATTTAAGGCAATTATGTGACTCTTTTCTTTTCCCCAGTTAGAAAAAAGGCACAAGTTCCTAATGAGTGCATGCTATACAACATCCCAAGAATCATGTTTCCCATAAAATAAGAATTCTTTTTTTAAACAAAAAGTATTAAAAAGCTGTTGTGTTTTATTATGCAACTATAAAAATTTACCCTTCCGTTATAAGACTTCATTCTGTTTCTAAGCGTCTGAGAAACAGTATTTGGTTTTAGAAATAACTGGTTGCCTGAGGCAGAATCTTTTTTGTGACCCTTTATAAAGAATCAGAATTGCTTGCAAAAGGCTTTTCCTATAGGCGTCGTGGTAGAATATTAGCTATTTTCCAAAAGTGTAATTAGGAACACGGACTATTCATGGTAGAAGGAACAGCCTGTGACTACTAATGACTGAATTTTTGATTATAACAACAATATAGTCTTTCATTGGTAACATTTCAGAACAACTATTTCACTCTAATTGCATATTTAAATAGAGCTTTTAAGAGATGTTATAATATGAAAAGATTCGTTCTATTCTAGTTTGTATTTTAATATCAAACAGGGAGGGTTGGGATGAGGAAACAGACAATGAGCCTAAACTTCCTGGGTGGCTAGGAAAGTACCAAGATAGTCACAGCAGAGGCTGCATGTGGGATGTTGCACTGGGGAGGTGTTTTCTGGGCCTGTGGAATAAGGTCCAAACATGTACGATCATTTCTGTGTAACAGAAGGGTCTAGGAAAGTACTTTGCCTATTTCCGTAGCCTCATTCCTAAGTTGTGTTTTTATTGTGTTCCATCTCTCCCATACCGTTCACATTCAACCCCACATCTGTCCTACCTCACATTCCCCCTTTGCTTTCTTTGTTGGTCGCAGGAGTAATTTTCATTCATTGTTCCTTTTTAAACCTTTCAGGAAAATGATGGAGAAGCCAAGAAGATTGCCAAAGAAGGGCAGTTGACTGCTAGGGAGCTGCTACAGCCACACAGGCTGTACTGCTACTATTACAGAGTGCTACAGGTCAGTTTCCAGTGTCCATCATGCTGGGTCAAGCGTCCTCAGACCACATGCTTGGCCTGAGTGCCTCGCTTCTTGAAGGGGTTCAGAGCGTCAGCCTGTGGAACCCTGGCTAAACTGAGGCACCAGCCTATGGAAAGAGGCTTGGTGCTAAGTCCCTATGCGGCCACCATATTTTTATCTCTACTCAGTGCTTAGAGACCTTACAAATATAAATTAAAAGCTCCTCCCATCTTGTTAATGCTATCTTTTATTAAATGCTTTGTGGAATTCCTAGTTTAGCTGTTCTCTGAACCTCAGAGAATAACATCTTTCCTCATCTGGAAAATAAGAAAGTTGCACTGGAGATCATTAACATCTCTTTATGCTCTAAATGCCCACCTCTTTGTTCTCCCTACTACTTAGGGTCCATGCTTTTGTTATCACAGTACAGGATAGAAAGCAAATATTTAACTTGCTATATAAAACAAACAAATGGAAAACCTTTATGATAGTTCTAATACCTAGGGCTGAATACTGAAGTGCAGATGTTTACTGGGAAGCCAAGGATTGGTTCTTTGAGTAACTACCTTGTGTTTTACTCAATAAAATTTAGCTAAGAAGAGAAAAAGAAGAAATTGTGTTTTTGGTTTTAACCTTATCTTATTCAGAAAAAAAGTAAATTTCCTCAGATGCCTATGGCTACTACCCTCTCATAGAAAAAATAAAAATGATAAATTACACTGTTTACTAGAAGCAGCCTTTCCCTTAAATGAGTTCTGTTCCCTCTGCTGGTCTAGCTGTAATTTTAATAGTAGGAGTTTCTCCCTCTAAAATATTAATTAGGCTCGTGTACTCATTTAGTATGTTGTTGAGTTTGGCCCAGAACCTAGAATGTACAGCTAAATATAGATAGAACCACTAAACTGAAATAGCCAATTTATAGGAATATTTCAGTCAGTGGCCAAAGTAAAGGGACATTTCACAGGCCTGTCAATGTTTAATAGCCCTAAAGGGAAGGAAGTGTGAGACCTGAACTTTATTTTGAGATGCTTGTCATCTTTGCTGATTTGAGTATTCAACAAAGTTATTCATTAACAAGTGGAGTTAAATGCCAAGAGGTGCTGTTATTTCAAGAAGGGACACTTGGCCTGGGATCCCTTTTGTAGAGGCTTCTTACTTACACATAAAATTGTGGATTGGGACTCCTTGTTAGATTATGAAATATTGTACTAGTGCCTATAATAACTAAAGTTAAAATGTAGCTTTAAGACTGGTATAAACCAGACCTTTGGTTTTAGTCTGAAGATACAAGCAACTAGAAATGATAGCATGAGTGGGGCGGGGAGGATTCAGTGGAATGAAGAGTGGACTAATCTTCAAACACACATTTCAGAAATATGCTGAGCGCCAGTCCAGCAAACCAGAAATACGTGATGGAATGGAACTTGTTCCTCAGCCAAAGGATAATGAATCCATCTGCCAGTGCCACAGGAAAAGGCCTTTAAGAGAGGAGCTTTAAGTCAGCCCAGATTCACTCCTGCGTATACCAGTGACATCTTTAATGGAAGTGTTCAGATGGAATCTAAGCCATGAAGAACACAGCTTGGAAGACTTTATCCAAAGGACTAGTTCTCTTGATGGTCTTATATAATGTGGATGGACAGAGTGATATTAGAGCAAGTATTACCAAGTATCTTTGGATATTAATTTCTTTTGAGTGAAAACTGCTATTATGAGCATCATAGTTTCTCTAAAAAGAAAACGTGGGGATCGTACTAGATAGAGAGGCTTGCCAAGATATAAATCACTCTCTGTGAAACTATTTACATCATATTTATTGATTCATTTCTACTTCTAGTTCACTTTCCCGCTTCCCCTTCCAATTATGAAGAAAAAATATTTGTGCAGGGCTTCCCCCCCTACCACGCCCCCACATAATTTCTTCTCCTATAAGCTGCTTTTGGCATTTAGTAATAGCAAGCCTCCTCTAAGAAGGTCTGATAAGAATAATTAAGGAAGATGAGGATGACTCTGTTATTAAAGGTAGTTTGGAGACTATCAAGGGGCTATTTTTTTAATGCTCACTCACATCTTTTCAACTATGTTTTACCATGGCCTGCCTGAGACAAAATTAAGTAGAAACTGTGCCGTAAGCTAGAAATTCCCAATCTATCTGGGTTGGACATCCATCAAGGACAACACAATTATTAAAGTAGATGAGAGCATCTTATGGGTACCATTCATTATCTATTGAATAAATAAAAGATAACTATAGTCAGGTGGGGATCTTTAATTCTTTTTTAATCTTTAAAAGGGATACTTGAAAACCTCTGCAACAAGCTGCAGGAAAGCTAGTATCTTGGGCTTTGCTAATAATCTGAGAACAAAGGCAAGCATCCATTCCTCACCACACCCCTCTTCTATTTTACTGCTAAGATAAAAACTTTGGAAATTTCCTTGCCTTTTAGGACAGGGTGAAGACTTAAGACTTATAGCCCAGAAATTTGTTGTACATTGCTTGTAATACCACCAATCCAAGATTCAGTTCGCTAAAGAACACACTCCAAAAACAAGAGCTATCCACACTCCCAACCTAAAGATATTTACTTCCCTAATTGAAATATTTACTTAATCTGGAAAATAATGTAACTGCTTTAAAGTAGTTATATCCTTTATTAAAGATCAATAAGAACACAGGATTTTTTTTTTAACTAGACAAAAGCAACACCACATTTGGAAACAGTGAAATCAAAGTCAAGTATCCATAGAAAACTCCAACAGCCACCAGTTCAAAACCACCATGCACACATATAAAATAAAGAGCAAGCTGTACTGGCACCATACCCTAATGAACCCATGTCCTACATATATTGTACAGTCTGGAGCTTGTCAAAGCTGAGTTATGGAAAGACAGTTTGCCCTCCCACACACGTCCCTGCCCTCCAACCCCAGGTCCTTCCTGAATGACTAATGGCATTTTGTTAGAAACATCTTAAATTTTTAAAATTTGTATCACCTGCTCCCAGACAGGTCTGATAGTTAAAAGCAAGTTGAGACAAACTGGGCAGGTTCTGGGCATGGAACAGGAAGGATGTGCTTAAAAAATTAAGTGGAACCCCTTGAGAAATTCCACAGGGAGACAGCAGCCGTAGTCCAGATAATCTGTCTTCCACTGACTCAGTCATAGTCTCTAAAAAGAGTTTGTTTTACATGGCTTTCTGGTTTGTTGACATGAATATAACTGGGTAAAAATAGGATTATTAAAAGTCTGATTCTTTCCCTTTCACACGTTACCCACATATTCCATTAGTCATTTTTAATGCTTCAACTTTCATTAAAAATATCTGAATTTTAGGGGCCAACCCAGTGGTGCAGTGGTTAAGTTCACACTCTCCTCTTCGGCAGCCCAGGGTTTGCCATTTCAGATCCCAGGTGTGGACCTACACACTGCTTATCAAGCCATGCTGTGGCAGGCATCCCACATATAAAATAGAGGAAGATGGGCACCGATGTTAGCTCAGGGTCAATCTTCCTCAGCAAAAAAAGAAGGAGGATTGGCAGTAGATGTTAGCTCAGGGCTAATCTTCCTCAAAAAAAAAAAATCTGATTTTTAAAAAGAGAGGAGTGTAAGGATATGCAAGTAAATATAATAACTGCATTTCTCTAAATAAGCTATCAACATGTTTGTTGCAGCATTGTTTTTAAGAATAAAATGTTGGAAACACCTTAAATAGCCATCATCAGAGTATTGGCTAAATAGATATTGACACATCAAGGAATACAGTATTACCATTGAAAAGAATGAAGTAGTTCTACATGTAATACCATGAAAGATTTCCATGACAGCATTCAGTGAAAAAAGCAAGTTACAAAACAACATGTATAATGTGAAACCATTTATGTAAAAAAACAAAGATGTATCCATGTGGTTGAAAGTTTGGAAGGATACACCAATATCTGAGGAAGGGATGGAGAGAAGGGAATTTTTACTTTTTGCTATATACCTGTCTACGATATTTAAAATGTTTTTACTGTAAGTATGAAATGGATTAGAAAATAAAGAAAAATGCAAACCTAGGAAAAGACAACAAATGCACTATATATAGGAAAATAAAATGGATATTTATATTTTCCTTATGCTGTTTTAAAGTCTCATATGTCTAGAATTTTATATCATGGGACATATTATATACACTTTTTAAATAAAGTAAATTTTCTACATAAATTTTGAAAAAGATAAATTTCATTTTTAAGAAAAAGATTTTAACCACATATAGCCCTGGTATTTCTGTAACTGGGTTGGTCTAATATTAATTCTATTATGTGTTCATGAATAAATGAACCAAAACTTCTATCACTACCACTTAATCCCTAGTGGGTAGAAATATTAGAGGAAAAGATTTGGGCTTGACACGATTTTTTCAGTTATTTCAGGGGAAAATACAATAAGTTCAGCGTCCTTGTCAGTTTGTGTTGCCATTATAACAAATATATCAGAGACTGGGTGATTTAAACAGTAAATATTTATTTCTCACATTTCCGGAGGCTGGAAGTCTAAGATCAAAGTGCCAGCATATCTGCTGTCTGGTGAGAGCCTGCTTCCTGATTTGCAGACTGACACCTTCTCATTGTGTCTTCACGTGGCAGAGAGCAGAGTGAGAAGAAGCAAGCTCTTTCCTGTCTCCTTATATGGTCTCTAATTGCCTCATAACAACTCTACCCTTGTGGCCTAATTACCTCCCGAAGGCTCTGTCTCCAAATACCATCCCATTGGGGATTAGAGTTTCAACAAATTAATTTGGAGGGAGGGTGGTGGTGGTGGTGGTGACAAACATTCAGTCTACAGCAGCCAGGGAGGGGACAAAAGCTCCCTAGACACAATATGGCCAAGGGCAGAAGAAACCTGCATTTCTTATTTGGAGGGAAAGGAAATCATCCTTGTGGCAGTGAAGTATGTTTGACTACAAATAGTTGAGGACAAAATTAGCCAGACCTTGAGTAAAAGTCCCTCTTTATGTTCAGAGCTACAGTTTACGCTTTCCCAACCACTGCTGCTCCCACCCCAAGCCAACCTCTTGTGGAGCCATTCCAGACACTGAGATCAAAGTTAAGTCTCTTCTAAGTCAAGTTCTCTCTGTAGAGCTGTGTGGAAGAGGAAGCCACTAACTTTATACTGATGACCAACACTGCAACATTTCTTAGACACAAGGAAAGTAAAAGACAGGGCTTTTTTTTTTCTGTAGAAAAACATAGCATATTCTGGAATTGGGCAGTGGGAGAGGAGGAAGTGGTGTATGTAAAGGGGGATGAGACAGACAGAAGTAAGGGGAGGAGGGGAAGAGAGTTAGAATAAAAGGAATATTTTTGAGAGTTACCTATTCTGTTAACCCACAACTAGGTGTGCTTCAATATAATTCTGACGCTAACCACCCAGATTTAGAGTCAGGCTCCACAGGTTTCAGGGCTGTGTTCCACAAGACTGCCCTTACAGACACCAGCCACAAATGAGGTCCCCAGCTACCCACACTTCTGATTGTTTGGCTACAAATTCGGCAGTTCCCATGATTCCCACTCTCCCGCTCCCCATCAGGTTCAATAATTCACTCAAACAACTCACAGAACCCACAAAAATGCTATACCTAACTATTATGGTTTTATTATAAAGGATACAAATAGGGCAAGGTCTGGGAGGGAACACAGAGCTTCCATGCCCTATCCCTGGCAAGCCATGGCACATCACCCTCTTGATACATTGATGTGTTCACCAACTTGGAAGCTCTGCTGAGCTTTAGTGTCCAGAGTTTTTATTGGGGTCTCGTTACATAGGCATGACTAATTAAATCACTGGCCATATGATTGAGCTTAATCTCCAGCCCCTCTCCCTCCCTGGAGTTTGGGCATCTGAAAGTCCCAATCCTCTAGTCATGTGCTTGGTCTTTCTGGTGACAATCCCCCATTCTGAAGATATCCAGGGTCCTGCCATAAGGACTTCATTAGCATAAAAAAGACACTTTTGTCACTTAGGAAATTCTAAGGGTTTTTCAAACTCTGTACCAGGAACCAGAGACAAAGACCTGAAATATTCTTCATAATACCACAACCCCTCTGATGGCCTGAGAACTGAGGACCACTGAAGTCATGAGACTTGATTTAAGGGATTAAGGTAGCAAGATTACCCTCATTCCAGGAGGTTTGGGACAAATACCTGAGCCTTACAGTTAAGATATGCATTAACTGAATCTAATCTAATTTAGTTCAGAGCATTGTGGTATGGGGATATTTTAAATATGCAGAGAGTAAGTCTCTCTTATGGTTTCTAAAGGTTATTATCCACACCTTTAATGTGAACTAGTGGGCAGCAGGAAGTCCTATGCTTCAGATGACAGTGAACCAGCTGGAGAAACCTGAAGATTGTTTCCCCTTCACACTCCACTCCTTTCTTTCTTTAACTTTCTTCTGCCCAAAAAGTAACAAGAACTCTGCTACCACCTACATATGTCACCAGTACAACTAGCAGTGCAGCTATGGAACAGGGATCTGCCATCTGGGTGGGAACTAAATGGGCCCTCCAAAGAAAATGGCTTGTCTTCTGCCCCATAACTTTTATCATTTAAAATCGGGGTGATTCACCAAGTGACTGTCTGATTTGGAATAGTTTTGGATGACAATGGAGACTCGTAAAGGAGAGAATATTATAACAAAGTTCTGTTCTGGTTGCCACAATGAAATTTTTCTGTTTCCTCTGAATAATTCTAAAACATATGGTAAGTGTGAGATCCAATTTAGCTTTACACAGTTGTCCCATCTAAGACCACACAGTAACATAAAGTAGCCTTTAAAGCACAAGTATCCAAGAGCAGGGGTGCTAGGATGCCAACTTCTCTAAGAACGAAGTGCCCAATTCAGTGGCAGACTGGAGCCTGCTCCTGCCGGCTCTCCAGGAGATCTGGCTTCCAACTGCACATTTACATACATCACATTGGTACCTTAAAATTGCCCACGGTGAGGGTATTTTCAGCACTGGAAATTGGCAAATGCTACAAATCAGGGTTTTAATTTTTGAGAGCAGTTTACTAGCACCTATGGTTAATATTACATAATTCTTTTGTTAGCAAATTTAAAGTGTCCTACTCAAAAGAGAAGATCCTGTATCACTCAGGATGTTAAGGCAGGAGTAAGGGAAATTCTAACTCACAGACCCGATATGGGCCCTCATCATGATTTTTGTACACTCATTCATTGCTACTAGTATTGTCAATTGATAAGCCCCTTTTAAGAAAGCAGCAGGGTAATCCTTAAGAGTCATGGGGGTGAGGAAGAGGGATTTCTGTGAAAAGAATTAGTTAAAAGGTGCCAACTCCCTTCTCTCAGCCTCTCCAAACTGCTAAACCTCGTAACATTAGTACTGATGCCAGGCCCCTCTGGCTTTCTCTAGGTCACTGCAGGACTCACACCCACTCTTCATGTGTGACACTGTGGTTTTCTACTACCTGAGATTATTTATAAAAGATCCCATGCTCCCCTCCAGGGACAGTCTTGTCCATTGTTGGGTTTTTTTTCCCAGTGCCAAAGCAGTGAAGAAAAGAAATGGCGTGTAATTGTGACTCCTTTCCCTCTGCACTAAATATTTCCTCTTTTCTCATATTAATTCAATGTTTCCCTATTTCTTGCCTTAACACAACTTATAAAAAGAAATTTTTGTTTTCTAAGTGGAAAGCAAGAATATTAATTTCATAAATATAATACGACAAATTATATAATAATAAGAAAAAAAGAAAAAATGAAGAGGAGAATAAAGGGATAAAGAACAGAGAGAAGGGAGAAAGGAACAATTTCTATAAAACCACCCAGAAGTTCCTCTGAGTTCTGTTTTCTGGAAACTGTTCCCAGATTTAAGCAGGTGCATGTAAATGAATAAATAGAAAATCTGAGGGTTTGAGCCTTAATGATTGATTCCTTGCGCCTACTTTAAAGAAAGATACTTTTTCTTTTGAAGAACTGAAATATTTTTACATGTATTAGAGCAATAAAAAAAAGGTCTGCACCTATTACTTAGAAATTACTGAATCCCTCTGGATCAGGTTAGAGGTAACACAATACATGCTCAAATAGCAACTATTATAACTTTTTTTTTAGTAATTCAGACAGGCACTTCATTAAAAGTATGTAGGGCTTGTTTTTAAAGTAATATACAAACAAAATAGTATACGTTAAATATATTTTTATATTTCATTCACTACATTTAGAAATATTTTTTCTGAATTATTTACTGGCTTAGTTTTGTAGTTTTTAAATTTTAATTCTCATAATGGTGGTAATATACACATGTTCACCATTTTAACCATTTTTAACTGTACAATTCAGTGGCATTAAGTACATTCACGATGTTGTGCAGTTTTGTAGTTTTGAATGTAAATTTTTAAAACCAGTTTCTACACGATTAAAAATTAAATACAAGTATATGTTTCCATGACTGTATTTTTACAGTTTATTATTCATAGCTACTGTGCATTAATGCCTCAAGGAAACTACATGAAAGAGAACTAAAGTTCCCCTTTCCTGCTTACTATGATTGTGATAATAAATTGAAAGAATTCTGGAAGCCCAGTGAGTCACTGAATTAGCCTACAGGAAATTCCTTTTGTATAAATGTTTTTATTATATAGGGAGACTTTTCTTTGGGTTTTTTCCCCCCCAGACGTTCATTTTCCTTACAAACTAATTGGATTACATGCATGAGCACAGGAGGGAAACAGAACTGGGCAGTTTCTGAACACGGTTATTTTACATTGCAATAATACGTAACTAAAGCATTGCCAAAGTGTGAGATATTTAGAATTCAAGCAAAGCAAACTTGCTTTAGATCTGAAGTATCTGTATAACTTAAGTTTATTTGAAAATTCATTTAAGAGGGCATCTGTTTTCACTTAAAAAGTGATTTAGGCTTTACTAGCTCAAGAGCATAAATTTAGAAAATAGCATAAAACTGCAGTCACGTGTCATTTATTCTTTGACCTTGAGCAAGACCTGTCAATTCGCTAGAAGGATCAAGTTTCTTATTTACAAATGAATAAATTAATTAAATAGAAAAGACTTCATCATATTTCTCTGACATCTTTCAGGTCTTTGGTTGACGTGACCAGGGTTTATGACACATTGAGCCCAACTTCGCAGAAAACCACTTCGTGGTTTCCCTTCCAAAACCCCAAGCCACTGACAACGACAGCGAGAGCTCCTAACAGGTCCAACCATCTTCACATTCTACGGTTTTGGATCCTCGGGACTCGGAGAGGTTGTAAGTGAAGGAAAGCACGGCGCCGAGGGGCGGGGCTAAGAAGGCAGGACGGAACTAGATTTACGTCATTTCCGCCTACGGCGTTACCGAGGAGACAAGCAGAGGCTGGGCCAGCGGCGACTGGCAGGTGAGGGGCATGGTGTGCCCTCCAGCGCGCTCGTACACTTCTGTTCCGCTGGCTGCTGTGGCGACTGGTCTGATCCTCCTCTGTTCCAGGGCGCTAAGGGGCCCATGCCCTTGAGTTCCCCGCGCCCCACCCAACCCCTCACGGACGTTTCCTTCTGTGAAGCCCGCATTCGGCCTCCAGCGTCTCCTTACAGTCTTGCCCAGGGTTCAGCCCGCCCCGCGCTGCCCGTCCGCGCCGTGGGAGCTCGCGTCGCTCGGGTGGGGAGGCGCTCGCCGCTCCTCCTGCGCGCTCACAGGGCTCCGCTCCCCCCGCGTCTGCGGAGATACTGTTTCGTCCACCTTCGGGCGGAAAGAGAAATACGTGTCAACCTACCTTAATGTTTTTCTGGACTTTTTTGTGTTCTACTCGTGAAACGGTTTTCCCTCTTTTCATTTCTTTCTTTAGAGATGGGAAAAGGAAAAGGAGAATGTTCGTAGTTAGTAGCTTTTAGTAGTAGATGGTAGTAGTTTTTAAGGAATACATTAGTAGTTTTCTCTCTTCTGTCTTGAGTGTAAAGGACCACAGGAAAAAAGGAAAAGTGAAATTACAAACTGATAAAGATCAGAAACACGTTAGTTTATTCACTAAAACTTAGTAGGGGAAACAAAATAGGAAGTATTGATTCCGATCCTAGCAAATTAATTTTAATATTCTTTTATAACTTTTTAAAGTGGAACTGAGACGCCAAAGACTTATCTTGTGGGTTTTTCTCATAAAGTCTAAAAATAGATCAATTGAGCCATGATCTATTATAGTAAAAGTTAACATTGATTTAGGATAGATAAAAATCTTTTATTTCTGAATATGCAAGTGGAACCTGAGTTCAGGAAACTTCCTTCATTACTTGAGCAGTGATTTTGTTACTGCCAAAAGGGGGTCTTTTACTCACAGGGAAGACAAGCCAACAGTGGAGAGGCAAGGTGGTAGGAGAAAAAGGGTTTCATTATAGCTTGCTAGCAAGGGGGAAGTTGGGGGTGATACCGAATCTGAAGTGAGTTCACTCACCAGTTGCACAGCAAGCCAGTCTCTGACACGGGGTGTAGTGGAAGAAAGTTAGGAATTTTATTTTTGCACAGTGCTGAGCATGGAGAGAGGGCAGCTAACGCTGAAATCCCAAACTTCCCGAAAAGCTAAAAGGAAGGGTTTTTATTTGGGGTTTTAGCTAGGGGAGGCGGAGCATATGGCCTTGCTGGTTGGAGCTTTCCTACCAGCCTGTCTTTGGCCTTGAGACTACGGGCAGAGAGGAGAGAGCCCATAACCTTGCTGGTCAGCAGCTTTCCCACCGGCCTGTATCTCTTTGCCAGGAGGAGATAGTGAATCCAGGTGCTTGTCCTTGGAAGTGTTTGTCTCCATGGAAGATAGTGGATTCTGGAGCCAGGAAGCCAGGGAGTAAGCAGGGAAAGAGTGTTTTGGTTTTAACCTTGTATATGCTGGATTTAATATAGGGAAACTGATATCAGGGTCAGTATCAGGGGGACTAACTTCTAGAATAACTGTCTTAAAGGGGGCACAGAATCTTGAAGCAGTTATATAGGCCAGTGGGTTATAGTGGAGGAGGTTAGGAAAGTTGACCCTCTGGTGTTACAGACGAGAAGTTGCCACACCAGATCTTTCAGTTGTCGTGGATCTTAGCGCAGAATCTCTGTCCCAGGGTCATCACATTCCTAGGGAACTCAAAAGAATAAAGTTATTGTCTTTTCACAGCTGGGAGAGGACATAAAATCTACAGAGCATGTATAGCCTGGAGATATCCAGCTGGGTTGTTCAGAGTTACAATATGGTCTCTTTTCTACAATATGGCTTCCCTAATGCCAACCTTGTGTCGAACCAGTATCAGCTTGGTAGTACTTTTTAGTATTGTTTAAAAAATGAGAATTCAACTGAGTAAATTTTAAAGATTAAATGGCTTTATTAAATGATTTATGAAGGTGGCAGCATCTCATCTAGCAAGTAGAGATGAGCTCCAAAGGGCTGCAGAGAGGGAAATGTTTTAAAGGCAGGACAAGGAAGTGAAAAACAGAAAAAAGGATTATTTGGGGTGAGGTCACCTTCCTTTGGGGCACAAAAGAGTCTATTAGGAGATTACCTCATCTTCCTTTGTGGAAATGGAGAGGGCCCGTATGACAGATTACTTCAATGGTGCTGACTAGAAAATTCTGGACTGACTGGTTAAAACCACATTTTTGGGGAAGGTTGAAACTGTAATTAGGTTAGATATTAAGCCTCAGTTTGGTGACATGGCCTAGCATGAGTGACTCCATATTGGGTCTGTACTTTTATTTTTAACAATATCTTACAATTTATGAAGTATTTTCACATTGGTTAGTTTATTTGGAGCCTCATCATAACCCGATGAGATCAGTGTGTTGTTTTTTATCCAAGGCTAGCAACTGTCCCTACCCCCTTTTTTTCCCTGGACTGTGTCCTCTTAAACCTACTCAAAGACTTTTACCCTTCAATTTACCCCTCTCTTGCACCTTTAATTTCTCCCTCACTACTGGATCATACCTAACAACATCTTAATATGCCTTAATGTCTCCCACATTAAAAAAAAAAAAAGTTCTTTGAATCCATTCCTGTCCTCCAGCTATCACCCATCTCTGCTCCCTTACAGCATTCCAAGGAATTGTTACTGTACTCACTGTCTCAACTTTCCCGCTTCCTCAACCCGTCCCAGTCTTTCTTCCTTTCTATGCCACTGAAAACAGGACTTATCAAGGTTACAAGTGACTTTATCTGGCCAAATGTAATTCTTTATTTTCCATTTAGTTGACCCTCCAGCAGCATGTGACACAATTGGACACATTCTCTTTCTTGAAATATATAGAACTTCGTCATTCCTCAGTGATATGACTGACTCATTTCTGAATCAGTTTTAATTCTGAAAGATATTTTGTCAGTATTTTGTGTTATTCATAATGTAATGATACGATGCACAACACATTTATAAGTTTAGTCTGCATTAACATTTTCACCACCACTTTCTTAAACCTGGACAACCAACAAAACAATAAGTCAAGCCCTGATTTGTAGTGTTTGTTAGTATCTATGATGTAATTACTCCCACCATGGCCAATTTCAAGCTACCAACATGGCCTCAGGTATTGGGGAGAAATGTGCAGTAGTGCACCGTAACATATAGTATTTTCACTGTGCAGATACCAGTGGATACCATACAGAGACCAGTAGTTCTTAGCTGTGGGTGATTTTGCTCTCCAGTGGACGTTTGGCAATGTCTGGAGACATTTTTCCTTGTCGCAACTGTGCTATGGCATGTGGTGGGTATAGTCCAGGGATTCTGCTAAACATCCTGTCTTGCACAGGACAGCCCCACAACAAAGAATCCAGCCAAAAATATCAATAACGCCACTGTTGAGAAACCCTGCAATAAACATAAGTAAACTCAAGAAATAAATAGTAGTAAAATATAGTGTAGGAGAGGGAAAAACTTTTCCTCCACTCTTGTAGGTTTTATAATTGGGACCCCTGCAAATTGAACTGACAAAAGACAGATTAACCAGAGAAAAGGCAAACTAATTTTATTTGATGTTACTATTTCAATTTTGCATGTACATGGGAGTCTCACAGAAAAGGAATTGAAAACGCAAAGAGGAGGTTAGACCCAGGGGCTTATATGCCATTTTAACAAGTGGTGATAAATTTGTGGAGAAGTGACAAGATAAAGTAAAAGGAGTTTGGACTTCCAGAGGTGGTAAATTGTGGGAAGGTAAATATATGGGGGAAACTAATGGAAGATAAGGGTTATTATAGTAAGGTTTGTTTGTGGAGACCCATTTCTCTGGTGATAATGGTTATTTTCCTCCTATTGATATGGGAAAGGAGATTGGGAACACCTTCACAAAGGGAAGTTTATACCCTGCTTTTAGGCAGATGGGGAAGGGTAGAGAGCTCAAAATAATTCTTATGCCAAAGTGGAATATTTTGGGGTAGTATATTCTGATCCCCTGCAATAATAAAATAATTAGTAAGTGATAAGTTTTGAGTATTTATTATCTTTGTTTAATTGTAAGTTTAAATAATTTAATGTTTAGTAATGGCTGTGTTTAAAAACCAGCTCACGAAATTCTTGAAAATTTAAATTTTGGCTCTGCTGAGCCGGTACAAGCCAGCTGCAGTACCCCATCCAAACCACTGAGTCGATTTCCCATATGATTATAGTATGGCTCCTGCCTACCTCTTCGACCTTATCTCACACTGTTCTGCCTTTTCTCTAAGCTCCAATGACACTGCTTCTTTCAGCCACTTGTACACGCCAAGCTCCTTATCTTGAGGCATTTTTATCTTCTGTTCCCTGTGCCTGGAACCCTTTTCTACGATTTTCCTGTATTGCCTCTTTGCATTGTGAAAAATAAAGTCTCCTCATTAGAGAGGCCTTCCCTGACTACTTAGGCTAAAATACCCCTGATCATTCTATCCCAAGTCTCTGTTTTAGCGTCTTCATTGCACATGCACTTCTTTTGGTTTTTACTTCCATATTTTAAATAACATGTGATTCTACTTGTTCTTGATTTCTTTTGGATTTAGCTATTAAATGGTAACTTCCTACAATACAAACCTCTCACACTAAACCACTACAAGATACATATATATGTATACATACTCATCCTCTCCCCTCATCTTCCTAATTAAAAAAAAAATCCTGCCGTAACACTAAGTAAGCTTCAAAATTTTAACTGCACACAATATAAGGTTGAATTATTCCAAAGTAATTAAATATCCAGGGTAAGCCTGCTTTGGAGACAGGAGCCAGTCACCAATCATGTTATATCCAAATTCATATTATCATAGGTGGTATTATCTATTGTAGGGTATGTAATTATGGGGCATTACTGTTGTAACATACATTTTGGTAGGATTAATATTAATATTTACATAGTTACGGTTGTATAATTATTCATGGCTGAGCCATAGCAATAACTTAGTTTTTTTGTTTTCTTTTGCCCCTTTCAGAGTGATAATTAAAAAACACAAGTCAGATCATGTTACTGCTCTGGTGTAACCCTCCAATAGCTTCCCATCACACTTAAAATAAAATTCTAACTTTTTACGATGGAAAGCCCTATGTCATGTGGGATTTCATTACCTCTCCGCTTTTATCTTCCACCAATTTTCTACTCTCTGGTTGGCTGCAGTCACACTGGCCTTCTCCCTGTTCCAGTTTCCTATCTTAGTGCCTTCACACTTGTTGTTCTCTCTGCCTAGAAAGTTTTTTGGGTATGTGAGTGACTCACTTCACTTCATTCAGGTTTCTGTTTAAACAATAACGAATTAATATAATATGTAGAATTTTTAGCCTCTTTTGTTACTTATTGTGTCATTCCCTCCAATAAATATTTATTTAAAATGCTATTTTTAACTGCTACACGATATTAATGAAATGTTAAAATTTGCCTTTAATCCCCAGCACCTACCGTACTAAGCTCAGTCCAAACAAGGAGACTAAAGCAACAGTAAGAACTCAAGCAAGATTAAGATCCTTACAAGTTGTGTCTGACATATGCACAGGGGTATCAGGTATTGCTGTATAAATTCCAGTTTCTAGAATGTTAAGCAGATGCTATTGACAATACAAGAAATCAGCTGAGTGTAATTCCTGGGTGGGATCCCAAGACTAAACTTTAGAGAAATTTTCAGTGATGAGGTAGCTTTTTAAAATTTATTTCCAGTGTGTTGCAGACCATTACTTTTGTAAAATAAAATGAAAATGAATTACTAGAGAAAGGGAAAAAAAAAACCCACTAATGGTGTGTTTGTGTGCCACAGCAATGTCACATTGCTACAAATTTTCTAACTACTCTCAGTTTCTTTCTCTCATTTGGTAACAAGCAGTTCAGAAACTAGCATAGGTCTATGGACCACATTCAAAGTAGCACAACTTTAGAGATCCACCTGCAGGAGATCCACCCCAATCCCTTATGCCCTACCCCTGCTCCACCCGATTTCTGCCGACTTTTCAGGTCAAGCCGGCAATGAGTTGTTTTCCTGCTGGTGACAAATTAATTTTAAGAACTCTTCTTATTATTCAAGTAATATATGTTCATGATAGAAGTAAGCAAAAATAAACCTATTTTTAATTCCTTCTTAGTTATATCACACTGTTAATGTTCATATTCATACATACATAGTTACACTCACACCCACATTTGAATAGGGGAGGGAGAAGCTAACACAAACAGCTTATTACAGGTAGCTGTTTAATACACTTTAAAAATTGAACATGTGATGTGAAACATGTCATTGTGTACATTTACAGCATCACTTTTAATATTCTCACAGGATTCTATTGTATGAATGCATCATAATTTATTTAATTTACTCAGCTAGCAAATATTATTTATTGATCACCTACTGCTTGCTATAAGTGGAGGCTGTCGCAACAAACAAGAAAAAAGAGTGTCCTGAGGGAACTTAAATTGTAGAGGGACAAGATAGGTGGTAAACATGTTCAACAAATACACGAATAAGAATACTGATTTGGAAGCATTTGACAACCCTTAGCCTTCATCACATGAGAAGTGGGTAGCAGGTGTGTGCAGGAAGCCTGGATGAAATTATTTAAATCAAAGTGCCCAATAAAACTGGTTCAGATATGTTCACACAGTCAGTTCAAAGGGACTTTTAACACCCAGTTTTAAATTTTTACCTGCAAAATTGAGAATGTGTTTGGGAAAATTATGCAATTTTCATGAATTAGCACTAATGCTATCTTATTCTATTACATGCACACACACACACACACACACACACGCACGTACGTCACTTTATACCTTAAAACAAATCACTAAGCATTGATAACAGAGATAAAAATCACACAATTTAATTATTGGAAAGAATATTAAAAGACCCACAAAAGTCCTAATGTCCCATTTATGTTTAGTTTTTTATTGTGAAATCTAGAAGTTAAGCACTCCCATAGAATATTTATAGGTGTAAATTGATCAATTTTTTTTATTAAGGTTATGAAAGTTAACATCCTTGTGAAATTACAGTTTTACATCATTATTAGTCATGTTGTAGGTACACCACTTCACCCCTGGTGCCGTCCCCCCCACCCCCCTTTCCCCTGGCAACCACCGATCAGTTCTCTTTGTCCACATGTTAACTACCACCTATGAGTGGAGTCATACAGAGTTCGTCTTTCTCTGTCGGGCTTATTTCACTCAACATAATACCCTCAAGGTCTATCCATGTTGTTGTGAATGGTACGACTTTGTCCTTTTTTATGGCTGAGTAGTATTCCATTGTATATATATATACCACATCTTCTTTATCCAATCATCAGTTGCTGGGCACTTAGGTTGGTTCCATGACTTGGCTATTGTGAATAATGCTGCGATGAACATAGGGGTGCACGGAACTTTTGGAATTGCTGATTTCAGGTTCTTAGGAGAGATACCCAGTAGTGGGATGGCTGCGTCATAAGGTATTTCTATTCTTAACTTTTTGAGAAATCTCCATTCTGTTTTCCATAGTGGCTGCACCAGTTTGCATTCCCACCAACAGTGTATGAGGGTTCCCTTTTCTCCACAGCCTCTCCAACATTTGTCACTCTTGGTTTTGGATATTTTTGCCATTCTAACAGGTGTAAGGTGATATCTTAGTGTAGTTTTGATTTGCATTTCCCTGATGATTAGTGATGATGAGCATCTTTTCATGTGTCTATTGGCCATCCATATATTTTCTTTGGAGAAATGTCTGTACGTGTCCCCTGCCCATTTTGTAATTGGGTTGTTTGATTTTTTATTGTTGAGTTGTGTGAGTTCTTTGTATATTATGGAGATTAAGCCTTTGTCGGATAAATAACTTGTGAATATTTTTTCCCAATTAGTGAGCTGTTTTTTTGTTTCAATCCTGTTTTCCCTTGCCTTGAAGAAGCTCTTTAGTCTGATGAAGTCCCATTTGTTTATTCTTTCTCTTGTTTCCCTCATGTGAGGGGTTATGGTGTCCGAAAAGATTCTTTTGAAGCTGATGTCAAAGAGTGTACTGCCGATATTCTCTTCCAGAAGACTTATTGTTTTTGGCCTAATCTTTAGGTCTTTCATCCATTTTGAGTTTATTTTAGTAAATGGTGAAAAAGAATGGTTGATTTTCATTCTTTTACATGTGGCTGTCCAGTTTTCCCAGCACCATTTGTTGAAGAGACCTTCTTTTGTCCAATGTATGCCCTCAGCTCCTTTGTCAATGGTTAGCTGTCCATAGATGTGTGGTTTTATTTCTGGGCTTTCAATTCTGTTCCATTGATCTGTGCATCTGTTTTTGTACCAGTACCATGCTGTTTTGATTACTGTAGCTTTGCAGTATGTTTTGAAGTCAGGGATTGTGATGCCTCCAGCTTTGTTCTTCTTTCTCAGGATTGCTTTAGCAATTCGGGGTCTTTTGTTGCCGCATATGAATTTTAGGATTCTTTGTTCAATTTCTGTAAAGAATGACATTGGGATTCTGATTGGGATAGTGTTGAATCTGTAGATTGCTTTAGGTAGTATGGACATTTTAACTATGTTTATTCTTCCAATCCGTGGGTATGGAATGTCTTTCCATCTCTTTATGTAGTCTTCGATTTCTTTCAAGAAGGTCTTATAGTTTTCGTTGTATAGATCTTTCACTTCCTTGGTTAAATTTATCCCAAGGTATTTTATTCTTTTTGTTGCGATCGTGAATGGAATTGAGTTCTTGAGATCTTTTTCTGTTAGTTCATTGTTAGCATATAGAAATGCTACTGATTTACGTATGTTGATTTTATTCCCTGCAACTTTGCTGTAGTTGTTGATTGTTTCTAATAGTTTTCCAATGGATTCTTTGGGGTTTTCTATATATAAGATCATGTCATCTGCAAACAGCGAGAGTTTTACTTCTTTGTTGCCTATTTGGATTCCTTTTATTTCTTTTTCCTGCCGAATTGCTCTGGCCAAAACCTCCAGTACTATGTTGAATAAGAGTGGTGAAAGTGGGCACCCTTGTCTTGTTCCTGTTCTGAGAGGGATGGGTTTCAGTTTTTGTCCGTTGAGTATGATGTTGGCTGTGGGTCTGTCATATATGGCCTTTATTATGTTGAGGTACTTTCCTTCTATACCTATTTTATTGAGGGTTTTTATCATAAATGGATGTTGGATTTTGTCGAATGCTTTCTCTGCATCTATTGAGATGATAAATTGACCAGTGTTTTTGAGGACAATATGGCAGTGTGAAAATTTCAATGTGCATACTCTGTTCTTTTTTGTGTGAAGTTATATATATCTGAACTACATGCACATCGTAAAACTAAAATCACGGTGTGAAAGAGTATACTGGCATAAAATCTCCTTTTCGTTCCTAACTCAGGTCCCTTAGTCCCCCTGGTCCCTCCCCAGAGACTATCACTGTTAGCAGTTTCTTGTATCACCTTCCGGAGAGAGACAATGCAAATATGTATGTGCATACCTTTTGTCACAGCAATTCCATTTCTAAAAATCTATCCAACAAAAATAGTTGCACACGTACTCAAATATATGCATAAGGATATTAACTTTGTAATTGTAACAGCAAAAATGTAGAAACAGTCTGAATGTCCAATAATAAAGAGAAAATAAATTATGACATATCCATACTTAGGAATACTGATGTACACTGACATACTTAGGAATATGACATATCCATACTTAGGAATCTATATGTATAAAGATGGAAGAGTCTCCAATACATATTGTTAAGTAAATAAAGAAGAAACTATTTATAGTTTCATCACCTTAATGGAAACAAACAAACCTGCATGGTATATGTATGTATGTGTGTATATGTATACTATAATATATGGTTGTGTGTATAGATATACATTTAAAATTTTTTAATATATAAGAAAAGATCTGGAAGAATCACATCTACTAACAGAGATAAAGATAACTTTTGAAGGGAGAACTGGGCTAGAAGAAATGGATATGGAAGATTTTCACTTTTTACCGTTATACTATATTTGAATTTTTTGCTCCAAGAATGTATTTGTGTCTTATTTACATAATAAATTTAAAGGTATATAAATCTAGACAATACTATGAATAATTTTGGATTTTAAACAGTAGTGAGATGTTAAGTAGGGAATGATATTTACGTATTTTTCTAATGCTGTTTAAATATTGCCCTAATTCTGTGGTTATTTGTGAATAACCAAATAGCTGTATTCTGTATGTTGACCATTGAAAAAGAACATGGACAGGAAAACATAAGAGTAATGAACTGAGGTGACTACCATATTTCAAAATTCAGTATAATTACTTTTCTACTTTTTCCTTGCATTTCAAAGTTGAAATTTTGATATGATTTTTGAAGTTATGATAAATCTCAGATGGCAAAATTATCTTCTCTATCTCTTTTAATAATAGAAATAGGAATAGTCCCTTAAAAATTATTAAGACTGGTTATCACACTATTCACAAGGAAAACTTTTTTTTCCTGAAGTGTCCTGAAATATACAGATAAATTATACTTCTTTCCTTCTCCACCTGCTGGCTAAAAAGAGTATATTTCAAAATACTATCCTTTGA